GGGAACATTGATGAGAAGGCCAACAGAGAGAGAAAGACTTCCCCTGGAGCTGACACCCTGAATTTGGACTTTTAGCCTACTTTGACTATGAGGAAATAAACTTCTCTTCATTAAAACCATCCACTTGTGGTATTTCTGTTGTAGCAGCACTAGATAACTAAGCCACTTATACTTATGCTCCTCATCTGCAGACCACACTTTGAGTAGCACCCACCTAAAGTATAAGAAGCTAAAGTTCTACCAGAATTCGTGATGTGGGAAGGGGCTGATGTTAGTACCATTTCACGTTTTCCCTTGTTTTTGTCAAATAATTTTGTCTTCTAACAGAAGCCATTATGTCATTACTCCAACGTTTCATCTTGGCACTTACTTTTTTAACTTACTGACTATAAGCGACACCCATCCAGACCTTGCACCTTTCTTCTCACCTCAGTGAAAGACTCATTCTTCTTCCCATCTAAGGCCGATTTCTGTACCTTTGTTCTATATAATATTTCCTCCTGCTCTTTAGGGAACTTCTTTCCTACCCTTTAGATTCTATTCCCAACTATTATGTCTTGGTTCTTAACCTATAAACATGTGCATATCATTACTGTCTTTTTAAAAAAATTATTTCCTTAATCTATTGTCTTAAATTCCTCGTTTGCTTCACAGCCAGGCTTCCTGTTGTTTGAATTAATTCACATCAGTCAGGTTTCTGCCATCCATGCTAACATGCCCTTGTTGCTAATTTAAGTGGATGCTTTACATTTTGTCTCACTTGACTTCTCTACATCATTAAACAATATTGGCTACTGTCTCCTTGAAAATATTCCTTTAGCTTCCATTACACCATTCTTTTAAGGGCTTCTTCTTAACCTCTTGGACCTCTTATAAGCTTCCAATGTGAGTTTCGCTTCCTCTTTCGCCCCTTAAATTTGACATACAGCCCTAGTTACTACGCCTTTGGTTTCGAGCATCACTCATATGCCGATGACTCAACGTAGTATCTCTAAACTATTTCTCTCTTCTAAGTTCTAATTGCCCTGCTAAACATCTGTTTTTTACTTATTTATAAATATACCATTATCTCTTTCTGTTTCCCTGAAACCACTCTTCCAGATTTCTTATCTTGGTGAGTATCCCACAACCATCCAGTCCAGAAGCCCAGAGTCTTTCCTTTCTTTTATTCCCCACATTCACTTTTCAAGTCCTGTGATTCTATAATCTCAATAGTTCTCAAATCATTCCTTCTCCTTCATTCCACTTATACATTATTAGTACATGCTGTTGTTATTTCCACATCATTGATTTAGCTTATGCTCTTTTGTTCTTTAAGTCTTAGTTCATATCATTTCTTCAAGGAAGCCTGTCCTGACTAACCCTCAGCTAACCCCAGTATCGGTTAGATACTCCTCCTATCAGCTCCTATAGCACCCTTTGCACATCTTTTTCATAAGATTTACCAAACTGCACTGTAATAATCTTACTTATCTCAGTAAGCCTGTAAGGTTTTTGCAGACCAGGATGTTATCTTTATGCCCTACTGTGTTAGCATAGTAAATGTTTACTAGATATGACTAACTCACTGAAAACAATTTATTACCAAAAGTTTTCAGTTCTTTGCATGTGGTCAAATCATTCTTATCCCATTTCCTCCCTGAGTATAGGAAGCAGAATATGAATTGGAGAAATTTTCTTAATAAATTATTTCCTATAATAACAATAGAAAACGTTTGAGAAAAACAATATTTCTTCTATTAACATGAAAACTTTGTGTTTATTTTTATATCCCTTAACTTAGCTTTGTTTTAAATTTGTAGTCTTTAGACAGCTTTTCCTCAAACAGTGGACCATTTCAATATTACTTGAATGGTGATCCCAATCAGCGCTTGGAAAATTCTGGTTTTCCTGAAGATGTTCAAGTATCTCCTGCAAATGGCAGCATTGGGGATATGCAGGGGGTAGCAGTCGAAGGAAAAGGTGAAGTAAAGCGTGGAGGAGAAGATGGCAGAAGCAATAGTGGAACGCCACCCAATGAGAAACGGGGTGGAGAAAATTTGGAATTCTGTAATGTCAGAAGAGGGAGAGGTGTGTATTACTTTTTTTTGCTCTTTCTGGCTATCTTTATAAACTAATTGGTGCAACGAGGTATTCTAGATAGGGAAGCACTAGGACTATCAATTTGCAGAGGAAATATTAAAAATTATCCTTATATAACATCTAACAGTTTGTCTTTATGTCAAATTCTCTTCTTTGATTCCCTGGGCATAGTGGTGTATTTTCTAAAACGACAGAGGAAAACATTTCTAGTTCTACATCTTCTATGCAATTTTTTGAGGTCACCAAATTTATATTCTATCACTCCCCTGAACAATTGCTTACTGTTTGCTCCAACTGTGCTGCTGTATTTTTCCCCCTATGTAAGTAAAAATCTGAATTCTTTATCTCTTTTACATTTCTGCACTTTAGTCAAAAGATGCCATTTAAAGGTGACAAATCAGGTAGTAGAGATATAAGAACATTTAATAATAGAAGGGTAAACATTAAGAATGGTAATATGATTAGGTGACAGAATAGAGAAAATGGAGTGTGAAAGTAAAGGAAATATATTAATTTAGACTTATTCAGTGTAGGGAATGAATAGATACTGTCTAAAAAAAAAAGAGAATGGTATTATAGGAAATCATGGTTTTGAAAATAGCCATTTAAACAAAATGCATACCTTCCTAATTTATCAGAAAACACACGCATGACACGTTTTTTAAAAAAGCTATGCAAGGTCCCTGGTAGCTCCAACCTGCTAACTCAGAACTAAAGCCACTCCCGAAGTCCACCTTTCAGCCAAAGATTAGACAGGCCTATAAAACAAACAATAACACAGTGAGGAACGTGCTTCTTAGTTCAGTCAAGTATACGAGAGCACATGGGCAACACAGACCCAAAAGCAAAGACGAGGAGGCAGGAAGGGACAGGGAAACTGGACAAATGGACATGGGGAACCCAGGGTGGAAAGGGTGAGAGTGCCAACACATTGCAGGGATTGCAACCAATGTCACAAAACAATTCGTGTATAAATTTTTCAGCGAGGAACTAATTCACCCCGTAAACTTTCTCCTAAAACAGTAAAATTAAAAAAAAAAAAGCTATGCAAACAAACCGCGTAGTAAAATACTGTTTAAAACTCATAAAACAGAAATCATAATATAAAAGACCTTAGACCAAATGTATTTCTGATAGCCATAAAACTAAGCAAACTATACTCACCTATTTAAAGAAAAGAGTACTCATGTTGGTTTACAAAGCATTTCATGGTATAATCTGTAAGATACATATATATACATATATATACACACATACACATCACGCACATATATATGTGATTCAGGAAGGGGAAGAATGTAAGGATAGACAAAAGTATATCAGGCAAATGCAAATTAAAAAAAATAAAGTTTGTAAACTTGATATCAGGTAAGATTAATTTCAAGGCAAGAAAAGTTAAGACAGAAAGCCATTTATAGTGTTGAACTGTACAATAAAGATGCAAAAAAGATTAATATCTACAAGAAAGAATATAACATCAACATCCCAAAATAACAGGAGATAAAAGGAGAAATAGAGAAAATCATATTAATCATACATTTACATCTCCTACGACTAGTATGATTTTCTCTGTTTCTCCTTATATCTTCTGTGAGCATAGTATGCAAATAAAAAATGAATAATCTGTTTTGGAAGAACACATATCCCAGAAGACAGAACATTTTAGGTAACTAATACTTCTCATTCAAAGAAAAAGAATGTACACCCTTACAAATAAGAGATCAAAGCAGAGATGATAAGGCATCAAATTGACCTGAAAAAAGGAAATTGCATAGGTAAGGGAAAAATTGGGGGCATAAGTAATATTATTTAAAAAACTTACAGGTACATTAGAAACAGCAAAGAAGAGAATTGATGTGGCAGAAATGCAAGTCATTCATTTATTCAAGAATGGCAAATCTAGATCTATTTCTAGGGTCCTGAAGCTTGTATAACTTGGGGGGCCCTCTTTATAAAAAAGAATACAAAATTACGAATATGAAACTAAATATTTATTTAAAATTAGAAAAACCACAACAAATTACTAGAGCCTTGGATTCAGGTCCTTTTCTTTAGGCAGTTTACCAGAATTGACTTGAAAGTCTTCCTATTTTCAACCCGGCTTCCCCACCCCCACCTACAACACTCTACAACTCCCAGCAGTCATGGGGCTGGTGCAAGTGCTGGGCCCTGAAGCTAAGCTTCATTAGCTTCGCAGTAAAACTGCCTCTGCATTAAACAAATATTATTGAGCATATGCTCTTTGTCAGGCCCTTTTTGAGGAGCCCTGGCGGTGCAGTTGTTAAGTGCTCAGCTGATGACCAAAAGAGGTTGGTGGTTTGAACCTACCAGTTGCTCTGTGGGAGAAAGATGTTACAGTCTGTTTCCTTAAAGATTACAGCCTTAAAAACCCTATGGGGCAGTTCTACTCTGTCCTTTAAGGTCGCTATGAATTGGAATGGACTCGACAGCAACGGGTTTTGTGAGTATTGGAGATGCAGTAGTAAACAAGATAAAGTCCCTCCCGTGGAGCTTGCATTCTAGTAAAAAGGGAACTGACAGTGAATAAGCAAACAAATAGGATTTCAAATAGTGATAAGTGCTCTGAAGAAAATAAAATAGGGCAATTGGAAAGAGTGGCTAGAGGAAAGAGATTACCATAATGCGAGAATAGTCTGATTAATCCTGTTCTTTGTGAAGGTTGGTTTGAAAGCTGTTTATTATATACGATATAGTTACGTGAGCAGAAGCAGGAGTAGTTCTCTCAAGTCATCAGTACCCACTGCAGTCCATCACAGAATATCTCAAGCTCTTAAGGATGCAAGAAAGAACTAAGGTTCAAGGTGGACTCCCTACTTTTTTTCTGCAAGAGTAGGTAGGGTAACATGGTGGTACCTTTTATACACTACAATATAAAAATATTTCAGCCTTTCTGAAAATTAACGTGGCAACACTCAGTAAGAACCTGTCACAGTTCTTATCTTGTAATATGTCCTAGCAAAATCAGCAGAAATTTGGATAAGAATTGATATACAGAGACATTCACAGCAATGTTACTTGCAATAGCAAAAATTTGGAACCATCCTAACTATCCAGAAAGTGGAGAATAGTTGAGTAATTTACCTTATGGCCATATTAAGGAATTTATGTAGCCATTTATCTGTTTTTGGAATAAAATTTAATGATGCAGATAAATATTCATAATATGATTTAAAAAGTAGGACACAAAATCATATATAAAGTATAATACCAGTTCTGTAAGCCCTGATGGCACAATGCTTAAGCACTCGGCTACTAGGCTGCTAACTAAAAGGTTGATGGTTCAGACCCACAAGCACCTCTGTGGGAGAAAGACCTGACAATCTGCTCTTGTAAAGATTACAACGTAGAAAACCATCACCTGGGGTCACTATAAGTTGAAAATTGACTTGCCAGCACACAACAACAACAGCAACAAATATACATGTAGGAGAAAATGGATGGCTACATAACAAAATCTTAATAGTACTGAGATATCAATATCTCTGTAAATAGCATGGAATTTATAATAAGAAAAGTGTACTTAAAAAAATTTTAGTAGACTATTCTGGAGAATTTTACCTTAAGAATAAATAAAATGATGCTCAGGTTTGTCATGTATAAACTAGTTTAGTTTATTGCAAGGTAGTCATGGCAGGCGTGCAAGTAAGACCTCAAGACATTCATTTAGCATTGGAGAATCTGAATTAACAATTATAATGTTAGTTTATATGTTAGAGTCCAAATTTTTAGACTTCAAACTTTACATTTAATGAGTAGTCTTGAGAAGGAGACTTGACCACCCCTCGAACTCTGAGGAGGTCCCCTGTCCCTAGGGTCTCAGGTTTGTTATAGCAAGCAGTGTCTCAGTAGGCTTCTCAGTCTTCAGATGGAGAGTCAGAAAGACCTTTTGCTTCTACATCCCCCAAAATGAGCAGAAATCCATGGGTTTATATACCCTGTATGCTGTAAGTTCAACTATAATTGGATGCTTTATTGCCAGTTAAGAGCATTGATGTATGACGTATTTATGTTTTGCTGATTTATTAAGACTTGAATTATTGCCAGTTAGGACATGACATGTTTAAGTTCTTGTTTACTACATAAAGTCTGAAGGCCAAATTAATTAATTAAAATTATGGGAATTGTTTAGTGACATATTTTTTTTTAATTTATAGAGATTTGATTAATGTTAGATTTCATTATCACAGAGTGCAGGTGCACAGCCCAGTTTCAGAAAGGTATTTACTACCCACTTTACATACTTCTATAATCTATTCTCAAGGTTAGGACAACTTTCTAACGACTTACAGTTAATGGTTAGAGAGCATTACAGAAATATACATGTTTCTAATTCTAAGTTCAGATATTCTCTGTTTAGAATTTCACATTATAAATGACTTAAACATAAATGTTTAAAGGCATTAAAACTTCATGACAGTGTAAAAGCATTATAGAAACATACATAATAGTGACTTACGCTGTGTTTTAAGAATATTACAGAATCAGATGTGATTTGCGAGCGTACAGAAAGCATGCATAATATAAACTTACACTGTAATGAAACAAAAAGTGACAAAAAGGAAAACATAGCTATTTAACAGCCTTAATACTGTCAAGAAACAACCTTCAAATTTTTTAAATTTTATTACCTTACTAGTAAAGAATGTTTAAGCATGTACCCCAAACAAGTATATTATTTCTGAGTTATATGCATATAGTCAGGTACTAGTATAGTATGTACATATAAAACCTTATCAATAAAGAAATTTAAATATATTAATATAAATAGACACTTATGTATTTACTTCTTTTATGCAGTAGATTATTTTGTGTACTCCTTGATTGCTTACACTCTGTTTTGGAAATCTAGATCTCAATATCTCAAAGAAATAACAGAAAGAGGGAAATGAATAAAGTACATTGTTTCTACTTCCATAAAACTATTTAAAACTAATTTATTTTGCTCCCTGTAAATAGGGCATAGGATGCAACCTTTGGGCGAAGGAGCCAAAGGTCGGCAAGTGGGAAGTGGAGGTGATGGAGAACGCTGGGGCTCAGACAGAGGCTCAAGAGGCAGCCTAAATGAGCAGATCGCTATAGTGCTCATGAGATTGCAGGAAGACATGCAGAATGTCCTTCAGAGACTTCATAAACTGGAAACACTAACTGCTTCACAGGTAAGCGTCTAAATTTTCCTTATCTTCTTCCAGTTATTGATCCTGTAAAGTAGAGTATAATCTATACTGATCAGATTTTCACAAGTCAGTGTATTTTAATGGTTTTTTTTAAATAAAAAGGACCCATTTTTGAAGACTATTTTTAAAAAGATTGCCTTAAAAGCTAAATACCTAGCACTTAGGATAATGTATATCTTTCAGAGTGTAAAATTAGCCCTACCTTTTTGGAGATGGGTGTAGGGTGCTTGCTATTAGAAGAAGAGCTGTTAAATAGTACAATTAGAGGAACTTAATGGCCTAGAGTCCATAATTAAAGAGTCATTCTTTTGTAGTAAGCATTGTCTTCTATCTTCTTTTTAAAATGCTGGTAGAGGGAATACATTAAGTTACTAATTTTTTAAAGACCAGTTAATATGACTATTATTCGAATTTATGCACCAACCACTAATCCCAAAGATGAAGAAATTGAAGATTTGTACCAACTTCTGCAGTCTGAAATTGATCAAACATGCAATCAAGTTGCATTGATAATTACTTACGATTTGAATGTGAAAGTTGGAAACGAAGAAGGATCGGTAGTTGGAAAATATGGTGTCATGGATTGAGTTGTGTCCCCCAGAAATATCTGTCAGCTTGGCTGGGTCATGATTCCCAGTATTGTGTGATTGTGTTATCTGATGTGATTTCCTTATGTGTTGTAAACTCTATCACTATAATGAGATTATATGTGCTCTCCTTATGCGTTGTAAATTCTATCACTGTGATGAGGTTATACTGATGAGGTTGACAAGATCAGTGTCTTAATGCAATCTCTTTTGAGATATAAAAGAGAGAAGCAAGCAGAGACACATGGAAACCTCACACCACCAAGAAAGCAGTGCTGGGAGCAGAGCGCGTCCTTTGGACCTGAGGTTCCTGTGCTGAGATGCTCCCAGACCAAGGAAAGACTGAGACATCACAAGGACCTTTCTCCAAAGCCAACAGAGAGAGAGAGCCTTTTCCTGGAGCTGACGCCCTGAATTTGGACTTGTAGCCTACTGGAATGTGAAGACAATAAATTTCTCTCTGTTAAAACCATCCACTTGTGGTACTTCTGTTAGAGCAGCACTAGATGACTGAGACATATGGTGATAGAAATGATGCCAGAGATTGCATCGTAGAATTTTGCCAGACCAATGATTTATTCATTGCAAGTACCATTTTTCAACAACATAAATGGCAACTATACCCGTGGACTTTGCCAGATGGAATACACAGGAATCAAATGAACTACATCTGTGGAAAGAGATAATGGAGAAGCTCAATATTATCAGTCAGAACACAGCCAGGGGCCAACCTCGGAACAGACCATAAATTGTACATAGGGTCGCTATGAGTCGGAATCTACTCGACAGCACCTAACAACAACAACAACTAATTCTTTAGTATTACCAGAAAGAACTTTAAAGTTATAGTTTGGCCTCTGTTTTCCTGAGAGATCCAAGAGCATTAAACTGTTTGAAAAGGCATTACAGCTAGTCAGTTGCAGAAACTTGAGCAGGACCCAGGTATCTTGTATCCTAGTCTAGTGCTCCTTCTACTGTGTTAGACTGCTTCCCATATTGAAAAAAGCTAGGCAGTTGGCTGTGGAGGAGGTACTAAAAGAAGGGAAGAGAGTTCAAAGGAAAAGAAAAATCAGGTAGGTTCACAGTTTTGTCTGGGCTGTGATAATGTTTGGACTTAGTTGCAAAGGTTTCAAAGGCTGCTAGTGATCTTCCCCATTTGTCCCCTGACTTGTCTCTCCGTGAATAACATTGACTGCAGAGAAGAAAGAGGTAGCCAGCCTGATTATATGACACAGCTTGAAACATGTCACGACATCTAAGTACCATGCTATAACAGATGTAAAGAATTTGTAGGGATTAATCAAAGAAAATGTGACCCATCCTCAGTGTGCTTCCACTGCAAGATGAACACATTAAATATAACCCCTAAAAACCCAAACCCGATGCCACTGAGTCAATTCCAACTCATAGTGACCCTGTAGGACAGAGTAGAATTGCCCCATAGGGTTTCCAAGGCAGATTGCTGCATCTTTCTCCTGCTGAGCTGATGGTGGGTTTGAACTGCCGACCTTTTGGTAAGCAGCTGAGCTCTTAACCACTGCACCACTAGGGCTCCTGTCATTAAATACAGACTCATGTAAAGAAAGTGATAATGCAGGCTCTCTAAACAGCCGTTGTAAATATCTTACCCTTTATCTAATAAGTAACTTACTCAAGTTATCTCAAGTCTTCTCGATTACATTTTATGATCAATTAGAATGTAAATCCTTAGGCTTTAGGGAGCCTGTGAAAACCCTAAAATAATATGTAAACTTTTGTATGATGTTCCATCTTTGAGGGGAAAGGGTTTATTGCCTTTATCAGATCCTCAATAGGGTCTATGATACAAAAGAGGTTAAGAATAGTGTCTTAAATAAATGGCATTAACTTGTTTATACAGGTAAGTGTAGGTTGTTGATATCAAATAAACAATTTTATTTGTATCTTTTGATAATGAGAAAATTCTGCTATTCTGTATTTGAGAAATGAAAAGTATTTAAGGTCCATGATCCCATCAGGACTATCCCTAAATTAATGTAGAACTATCTTAAAGAAAGCAAAAAAGAGCTAATGAGTGGGAAACCTCATTTGTTAATTTAGTATTATTAAACGTTGTTATTGCTGGCAGTCTATGTTTTTCTTGTTCTGCATTTTTTAAAAGAATATTTTGTATATGTTCACTGTCTTTAATGGTGCTGACATTCTGCTAAAATTCCTTTGATTTCTCTTTAGAAGTTTACTCTTTCATTCTTGTCTTATGTAAAACAAATTAAAAAGATTCTGATATGTTAAAGACTTTTTTCCTTAGGGTTTCATTTGGATGACTCATAAAGAAATAAATTGATAGTAGGATAGTAGTAGATGTAGAACTGAAGGAAACTTAGTTCAGCACCTTTACTTAGCAGATGAAAAAGCTGAGATTCTGAGAGGGTGCATTAATTTGGCAGCACAGCCAAGACTGTAACTAAGGTCTCCTGATTTCTAAAGTAATGCACTTTCTACCGTAGTAAGCCACCTGAGATATATTATCTTTTTATAAAATAGTTCCTTAGATTTACTCACTCAGTAAATATTTGTTGAACAACCATGTCCCAAATACTTTTCTAGGCAAAAAAATACAAAAATGAAAGGGGAGATCGTGTAGCAAACCATGGAGTAAACTGCCCAGGTTCAAATCCTGGCTCTGCCTCTCACTAACACTGTGATTTTGGGGTCAGACTACTAACTTCTCTATGCCTCAGTTTCCTTATCTATAAAATTGGAATATTAATAGTACCTACCTCTTAAGCTATTAAAATAAAATGTTTATTACAGTACCTAGAACATAGTAGGCACTAAAGTAATGTCAGATGAGATGATAATGATGATGTTGATGAGGATGGTAAGACAGCTTGGTTCCAGGAAGCTCACAGCCTTAGAGAGGGCCTAATTTAAGTAAGTCTCTGTTTTTATATTCCTTTGCAATGGCTACTATTGTATGAGATTTTTTTTCTTTCAAATGGAGTTTTCTAAAATTTAGTAATTATTTTTATCTGGCTGTAGAATAACGAAATGATTGGATTTTGGTTACGTGTGTGTATATATACACAGATATACACATACATATATGCACATACTACATAAAAGCTATTTGGTATATATGGATAAATATCTTTTAAGCAAAAAAAATTATGCTATTTATATAGGTAGTATCAGTTAATTCTTGGCTGTAAGCAAGAGTCTTTTGGAATCTTTATTTGCCCTTTCAGACCATTTGTTACTTTGAAAAATCCATTTATAGTTCCATTTAATAGCTTTGATTTGACCTTAGCATTTGTTAGTAGCTGCTGGGGAGAAGTGGTGTCTATCACATTTGGGTTTGGTCACCTTGAGTTCCATTCCAAAGTGCACTGACTAACGTGACCTGGGTAAGTCATTTAGATATCTGGGAGCCCAATTTTGTAAATGTGTTCTTTATTCCATTTAGTCTGGAAAAATGCCATAAGATAAATCTCTTGGTTGAATATTATTATGCCTATAAGGCACTGTTACGATGTATGGCATAAGAATAATTACTGTGTATTGATTCTTTTGGCACTTGGGAGTAACAACTTGAGTATACTAGAACTGTAATGTGTCTGTTAATACCTTAATTGTAAGGACTAATGCAGCATCCAGAGGTGACTGATTTATTTTTACCTATAAGCTGTAGTCATTCTGTGGTCCCTGAAATCCTCTTACCACATAAGGAATTTAAATGGATGTTTAAAAACCCGCCCCCTCCTCCTCCTTTCGTATTGTTCTCACTCACTGCACTTTGGTACACTTGGTCTCCTTGCTATTCTTTAAACTTGCCAGCAGGTTGCCTACCACCCTTGTCTCTTGGAATTGCTATTCCCTTTGCTCAGAAGGCTATTTCCCCAATTAGTCACATAGTTTAACAATTTTTCATTGTTTAGGTTTTTGCTCAAATGTCAGTGAAGCCTTCCTGACCACCCGTTTTAAAAATCGCAAGCCTCCCCCTCCCTGGCATACCTCGTCTCTCCTCCCTCTTTTATTTTTCTTTATAGCATTTATCACCACCTGACATACTCTATGTTTTACTGATTTGTTATTACCTATATCCCTCCACTAAGGAGCCCTGCTGGTGCAGTGATTAAGCACTCGGCTGCTAACCTTAAGGTCGGCAGTTCAAATCTACCAGCACCTCCAGGGAAGAAAGATGTGGCAATCTGTTTCCGTAAACATTACAGCCTTGGAGGCCCTATGGGGCAGTTCTGTTCTCTCCTATAGGATCTCTATGAGTCAGAATCGATGGCAACAGATTTGGTTTTGTCTTTTATCCCTCCACTTGAATATAAGCTCCATTGGGCCAGGAGTTTTTATCATTTTGCTTTTTGCTATATCCCTGGTGCCCAGAAATAGTGACTTGTACATAATAGACATTCCAGTAAGTATTTGTTGAATGAATGAGCTCATTAATCTTGATAACATTTCTCTGAGATTATAATATATGGAAAAAACTGGAGTAATACATTTCTAATAACAAACCAAAAACTTGTGTTTAGAATGAGCCAAATTGAAAGTCAGAGTTTCCTAAGTTATTCTGAAAATTTTCTGCTTAGTTTATGCTATTTTTCATTCAAAAACCTACAACACTAATAGTTCCTTTTTGTATCTATCTTATACCTCCTCTGCTATAACTTGTCATGAATTTCCCAAACAGAATTATGGCATGTAATTTTTATAATTTTGTTTAATAATCAAGACTACAGTTCTCAAATGTGTTTGTAAATTGGTAATTTGTATGGGAATAGAGGGATTAAGAAAAATTGATTGAGAGATTTAATAAGAATATGAAAACAGTAAGAGTTTAGATTAATTTGAGGCCTTACTTTGATAATTCTATATATTTGAACTGTAAAATATAAAGTGCCAAAGGTCTAGCCATTTTAGGGACCTTGTCACTTGTTGGTATGGATTTCAGGATAATTGAAGCAGAGTTTTCAGAAAAATAGAGAATAAACTAATATTTCAACCATTTAAAAAATATATAGGAAGTAGAAAAATTAATTTTTTTTTCATTTTTATTTCTTTCATTTGTATTTATAGGCAAAATCATCAACATTACAGACTAGTAGTCAGCCCTCCTCACTGGTAAGAGATTTTTTCTTAAGTCTAAGTGCCAGGGTTTCAAATAAGTTACAGTTAATTCAGATTATTTGAGATGCTTAAAGCATTCCTCATGAAAATCCACCCTTTAGAGCTTAGAGGTTGAAAAATAATTTGTTTTGGGTTTATTTAAGTCTGGAGTACTCCTGAAAGTCTACTTACTGAATTATGCTTTAAAATGCAGAATTTCTCCCTCCCTTTAGTAGGAGTGAGATTTGTTATTATTTATATGTTTTTATAATTATGAATTAGATATGTTTTTATGCTTATCCATACAATACAGGATAGATTGGTAACTAGCTTATTTTATTTTCTCAGAGACCATCTTGGTGGCCGTTCGAGATGTCTCCAGCTGTGTTAACTTTTGCTATTATGTGGCCTTTTATTGCCCAATGGTTGGTGCATATATATTATCAAAGAAGGAGAAGGTAATACTATTTGCTAATAGTTTTATAATTCAGAATGGTGTGTAAATGCTTATAATCTATACATAGTAGTAGCAGCTTTCAGCAGCAGTTAAGGGGTAGGTTTCATTTTATGGATACATTGTCATACTGAGCATTCTGTACTGACCCTGGGACTGAAACTACCTTGGAGATGATATCTCCTGAATTACTAGGTACTTGTTAGACTTGAACAACTTTTACTTGAGAGCATCTGACTGAACATAAAAATGACTACATTTCTTACATTTTATGACTTAATGAGGAAAAAATGCTCATAAAGTATGATGTTTATTTTAGGCCTTTTGCTAATACTAAAAGAAAATAGAGAATCAAACTAATAATGTCTGCACGCTTTTCCGTACCTTTGAAATACAGACATTGACATTTCAGAAAATTTTCAACCCAGTAATTAGGGATTACTCTAACTGAGGGCCAGAATTCCTGTTTGGGATGCCAGGAAATAACCTCAAAGGGGTCTGAAATAGACTCTGATCCCTCGAAGTGCCTGGAGACTGTCTAGATTAGGAGTAATCTGAGGCTAAAACTCATGGGTTCAAAAGAATCCATACAGCATTCTTTTTGGACACTGGGTAAACTGAAATGCTTTCCATGCACAAATTTTTTATCATTGTTTACCTCACTGTTAATCTCACCTTTTCTGTGTTTTGTACCACTTTCCATTACGTAACAACAGATGGGGAGAAGATAGAGGGCATTTGCTAATAAGCTTTAAAGTGCTCTCAAATGTGTGCAATAGAAACACATTTTTAAAAATCTACAAGTTTAGATATTTACAAATGTTTTTCCTCTACCAGAGAACCTAAGTTACTAATAACTAAGCATGATAACAAAAGCAGAAGCTGAACGTTTATTCTTCTGTATGTAAAAGGGATAAGGGGCACTCTAGTATAAATGCCCCAATTATACTTTTAGTAAATTGGAGCCACTGAGTTGATTCCAACTCATGATGACCCCATGTGTTATACAGTAGAACTGGTCCATAGGCTTTTCTTGGCTGTATTCTTTACAGAAGCAGATTATCAGGCCTTTCTTCTGCAGTGTGCTGGATGAGTTTGAGCCACCAACCTTTAGGTTAGTAGTCAGCACAAACAATTTGTACCACCCAGGAGGCTATACTACTAATAGATAAACTAGTAGTAGATAAACTAAACGCATCTGACATTGGGTGAATCATTTCAGTCCTTGTTGTTTGCTTATGTTAAGATAGTTTGATTAATGTTCATCAATAAATAAGTTTTCGAAAGCCAAAAACAAAAAATCTAGAAGATATGAGAGGAAGAATATTCATTTATTTATTAAAACTATTTGTTAATTTCAGCACTTGAAGTTTGATCTTTCTTATTGGACTATAAGTCACATGAAGTAATTTTGTAATGACCATTTGTAATTTTGTGGTGTTATTTTGAATTTGAATATTAGTATTGTTACTATATTATCATTCAGAGAATTCTTTGGTATGAATTTGTTTCATATTTTTTATACTCATAGAAGATTGTTTTTTACTTCCTTTTTAAAGAAAACTGAACTGAAGAAAATGGTATTTTACTCAAGAGGACTACTGGGCCTGGATGATCTTGGAATGAAATGGATTTTGAATTCACAAGGAAGTCTTAGTTTGTGATGATTACATTTTTTCTGTTGTCCAGTAGTTTGGTTTGTGTACATATATATATATTTTGCATTACACAAATGATAACATTCAAGGACTAATTTTGCTGATACTTGAATAATCAATCTTAAGTATGTTATAAGTAGCACACATAGATTTACCCTGCCCTTAAACCTGAAGAACATTATTAGTTGTTGTTTGGTAACATGTTTACCTGATTATCTCCTCCACAGAAATGTTAGCTACTTTCCAAGGTAATAATGAGATCAGATTTATAAGTAGGTATTTAATTTCCTAAATTAAATATGAGGAAGAATGGAAACCAGGAGTGAATTTCAAATGAGATTAAATTGACTTTATATCTTACTCCCTGAATTGCCATGCCAAGGAATAGAAAACTGCTGGGAAAGTCTTCTCCACAGTTCACTTTGTGGACTGCCCAGAGTACTTAATTTCCTAAATCTTTCTTGGGCATTCACAACTCTGACTCTGGTGTTTAGGCATCAATATTAGAAAGTAGAGCCCTATGTACTAGGCTTAGGTTTTACATATGAGTCACCATTACAGACATAACCTGCTGATGGAAATGGAGAATGGACTTAATGTAGGTGTGAAAGTATATTCTGAGCTTGCAAACCATTAATAAAATTTTTATTCCGTGATATACATTTATTCCTTTGTAATCATTTTTCTTTAACTGAGGATATCTAGTTTCTGCTTCATAGGGTGCTTTGAAATATACAATAAAAACTTATTTATACTGTTTTCACAAAAGTCATAAAGAAAACACGTGAAAATCACTTTTCTGCAACTGGAAAACTATACAGACTGGACTTCTAACCTCTTAGTGCCTCAGTTTTTCCTTCAGGGTATATTTGAGATATACCTGCTTCACAAGGGTATTGGAAGGATTTGCAAGCTAGCACGCCAGAAGCTTCCATATGAACAAAGCATATCCAACTAATGGAAATTTAAGTCCCTTTCCTTTCTACCCCCACATTTAGACTAAGAAGACTTTGATTTATATCCTTGAAGACCTTGTTTAGAAAATTATTCTTCCTGTATACCTTACAAAACTCCCTGCTCACTTAGATGTATCTTGTGCTTTAAAGATTTCTCTGATCCACAGGCTTTGTAGCAAATAATTTTTAAGCATTCTTGATAATGTATGATGTTGAGTTTAGCATCATGTGTTCAGGGTATTTTCAATAAGGGTAAAAGAACTAATCCATCCCTAGCATATGGGGAGGTTCTTTGTTTGCCTGAGGAAAAGTATGAGAATACAATATGCTTTTCCCAAGGCTCTTTTTTCTCCTTTTTTCTTTAATGTAACTTGATGTTTATTTTTTAGTCCCATTTGATTAAAATGTCTGTCTAAAGGGATCTACTGATATTTGCTTTTTAAAAAACTGTCCTCTATTTATTAAGAAAAAAAATTAAGCAAGTAACTGAATTACATGTAAAAAATAAAGTTTATTCCTGTGGATCAGGCATTATTTTCAAAAATTAGGTATCTATCTGGTATCAGAAAATGGTGGCTCTTCTCTTAGTATATAAATAAAGTGCAGATTCAGAATGTGAGCAGTTGTAATTCATTAAAAACAGTCAGGAGTAACTAACTCCTAGGGATAACCGTTTGTATCTTGTTCCAAAGTCTTATTTATAGTTTGAAAAGCACTTTGCACACAGTTCTTGTATATAAAAATAAAGATATAATTATAGGATATACTGTTACTGCTTTGGTTAACATTTGAAACTGTAAATTGACAGCTATGGTATTTTTTTAATGATCTACTTCTTTTCTGTTTCTTTAATGTAAAACTAACTTAAAAATAAAAGATTAATGAGAAATGATATGATTTTTATTATTTGTTGCTGTTATTAGTGCATTTTGATTATGTACTAAAAATTAAATGAGAATAAATAGTAGGAATTCATATTGTTTTTTTTTTGAGGGGTTTCATGAAGGGAAATAGCTGCATGCGTTCAGTCCACCGTTTTCACCTAGAAGTCTCTAACTGGCTCCTTGAATTGTTTATTTGGATGTCTTACAGACATCTAAAACTGAATATGCCTACCCATTATGTCCCCCATCCCTCCATTTCTGGGTATAGCACCACAACTGACCTAGATGCTTATGCCAGAAATTAGGTGTCAAACTTGGTTCCTCCCTACTCTCAACCACCACATCAGTCCATCATTAAGTCCCATTGATTCTACCTTTACAATATACCTTGCCCCATCCAACCCACTTTCCATGGTTATAACTCTTCCATGGCTGAAGGGGAAACAGGCTTTGCAAGGCCGAACATGAGTGCCCTCATGTGGCCCACTAGTTCACTAGTTTGCATTCTTATGTAAGCCCCTGGCATGGAGCCACTATTGCCCACCACCACCATAAAACCTCTGCCCTCCCACTGCGGGATGTGGAGATCTGCTCTGATTCTGCTGCTGCCCAGGACTTGGCCTTGTATGTTTAAGTCTCCCTAATATACTCCTTTGCTACCACACTGGAGTTGCCCACCTGTTTCTTTGGTCTTTCAGCACCCTCCATTTTTGGAGACAAATTTCACATTACTGGTCCGTGCCTGAACAATTGCTGACTTGGTATTAATTGAAAGGAAAACTATGGCAACAGTAAATGTTTGCACTCTCTTTTGGATTCTGAGCATGTTTGTGATTGGCTAAAAATGTTTTTTTCTGGTAAGTAGAGCAATTGTACCTGAACGCTTTTCAAGATGTTTTGGAGCATAATGGCAAAGTCTTCTATAGTGACCATTTCCCAAACCCAAAATTTAAGACACATGTTCCAAGAAGTTGCAGGACACTTAGGGTTCAATTATCATTTATTAAAACACCTTTTTATGTTTGCTATGCACTTCATCTTATTTAATTCCAACAGGTAGACCAAGGCACGTAGGCACCTCTTCAAACATATTTTCTGTATTTGTTTAACATTTAGTAGGAGTGGGGAGAAAATTATTTTCTATTAATAAAAATTATATATAGCAACAGTTGCACTTTAATTTTTACTGGCAGAGGCAGTCAATGTTCTTTAAAGACATGTATGCACACACATACACACAAACTGTCAAAACCCTTCCCATTTTCCCATTATTCTTGTCCCCTTTAGGTTTTCCTTAATGTCTGAACCCACATCATCCTGAGAAGTGTATTTATTAAGTGATTTAAATCTGGATAATAAAGCACTTGTTTCCAGTAAACATTACAGTATGCCTTACCTGGTTGCAGAATTTCAGGGGACTGTAGCTTCACATGCTGGATATATAATAGCAAACTGTTTTTGATTTTTCCACACAAAAGCACTGTCTCCTGCATTGGGAAGTCTTGTACATTTCCTCCATCAAATCAGTAATGTTTAAAGTTCCTGGTACGATTGGTGTTCTGGGAAGCTACTCTGCTTGTTCCTTAATCTGGCTATACTTATTCCAACTTTCCAAAGTTACCTTTATTAATTCCCATTATACAGGTGAACAATCAGTAGCTCAGAATTCTCTGAATGATGTTAACAGATAATCTACTTGAAATATGTTACAATTATATTTATTAAGCACAGTAAAATATTTTTTGTTTTTTAAATATTAGGCTGTCTCTGATAATGTCACATATCTTAAAAACATCACATTTTCTACTAACATTGAACAAGCTATTAAGATTGCTATAATTAAGCTTTCCAGGAACATTTTAAACAAATACATATTGTAGAGCAAGGCCAGAAACAGTCATGGTGGCAAAATTTCACATTCAACCATATTCATAGTAATTTAAAACACATTTAGACCTTTTGTTTATTCCTCATTCCCCAGAGAATTTATACAAGTGAGGGAAGGAATTTTCTGGCAACATTTTTGAGAACTTAAATGTTTTACCACAAATGCAGCCTTAAATGATTGCCCTTGAGAGCATAGCTTTTGCAGACAATCATGTGCAAATAAATCACATTCAAGAGAAACTGTACAATGTTTGTTATTTTAACACAGGACAAATCTAGAAATGGACAGAAGTCAACGGACAAGGAGAAAGAAAATCAAGTGCACACATGCTCGCTCTCTCTAAAGCAATAGTGTCATTCTAGTTTTACTGATGCATTCATTTTCATAAAGTGCAACAAACAAAATAAGATGAAAAAAGCTTTGAAGATCTATATACAGTTCTATTAAATTACTGGTTACATTCTTTATAGCCTCTTAAGTTTGTGGTAGCTCTAACAGGTAATTTATTTTCCCTAGGTCAATCTAGCATTGAGGGGTATATAACTTTGCAGGCTTATTCTATAACATGAGGTTAGACTAAAAGGAAAATGTATGTGCTATAGACTAAATCCAGATACAGTCAGGTGCTGAGCATTATTTCTGGCTTCAAAATAGGATGTATCTGTTTCATCAACTGGTTGGGGTATGAAAGGCATGGTTTGATGCTGCAGATTTTCCCAGTCTATATCGCTGAAGAGAGGATGATGTTTCAGCTCTTAAGAAAAAAATAAAACAGAAATATTATGACACCATTACCTAAGTATCACTTCATAGGAATTAAAAGGAGAATTTCATATATATATATATCTTGTCCTACTTTATTAGGCCAGTTTCAGACATTTGTTTAATGTCTATTAGACCACACACTTCACAAAGGCACACATTGTGTTGTTTTATATATCACCTTGAACATGAAAGGTGCTTGGTTTGTATTTGTTATATTTGTGAATGAATGATTTTCCTTAACAGAAGCCTAGCTTTCTCACTGCCTGAATCTTCTCACACAATTCCTGACTCAATGAAAGAACTTAGGCCTACTTCTTGCGCTCCAAGGCAATCTTCCATAATCACTGCTCCATTTCTCATCCCAGTTCCTGTCACCTGTTTATATGACTGCAATTCTTAGCATTATTTATTGCCCTAGATAACGTTAGCATGAAGCTCATTTTCTACTCCCTTATTTTCTTCCCTATGCTTGATCCTTATCTTTCATGCATATACACTGATGATACTTCTGACACATTGTCTTCACGTTTCTTTGACTTCCCTGATTTCACTGGCTTAAATCTCCACAACACATTGACTATGTAGCAGTATGACTACATCCTGAATCTTGGTATCATGGTATTGCTCCACTTACAAGATCTCAAACTTTGCTCTCCTGTCTAACTATATTTACTGTCACCTGTTATCTTTTCTATTTCTTTCTACCTACTAAAATGAAAATATGCTCTTTGACCACACTGTACTATTTAGTTGCTAGGCATAACTTCCCCTATCCTTAATCCTTCATAAGGAAACAAAAAAGGTTCGCGGGAGGCAAACTAAACTTCTTAATCAGCAAACAATAAAGGGACAATTAAGGCAATAAACAGCTCAAAAAGAAGTAAGCAAATTTAAGGAAAATATCGGGAGAAGACTACACAAAGAATTATGTGTCTGTGTGTCTGTATTGGGGAGATGGGTTGGGAGATTAGTATGCCTCTGACTTGGTTTTTCACTAAACTAAAACACTGATAGGAAAAGGGATAAATAACTCACATTCAAAGAATTCATTTGTCTCTTAATTGTTTAAAATAAGTAACTGAGCACGAATTACTTTAAAAATTACTTTAGAACAGAGGTTCTCAACTGGGATAATTTTGTCCCCAAAGACATTTAGCAATGTCTATAGACATTTTTGGTTGTCACAACTGGGTGAGGGTGCTACTGGTGTCTATGGGGGCAGAGGCCAGGGATGCTACTAAACATTTTACATTGCACAGGACAGCCTCCCACTTACATTACTCAATGTAAGTGGGGATAAAAGAAAAACTTTTTTTTTCTTTTGTTTTGCTGACTTCCTCCATATTGCGTATTGCCTTTCCTTTCACCAGAATTAACACGTGTCTTCTATTTGGTAATTCTCCCTGCCCACTTCCCATTCTTGGTGACCATCAAAGAATTATTTTTTTCCTGTGTGTAAACCTTCTGTTGTTTCTTTACAATATTGGTCTCATACACGATATTTCTCCTTTTTGTGATTGACTTATTTCACTCAGCATTATGTCCTCCAAATTCATCCATGTTGTGAGATGTTTCACGGATTCATCATTATTCTTTATCATTGTGTAATATTCCATTGTGTATAGGTACTACAATTTGTTAATGCATTCATCTGCTGATGGGCACTTAGGTTGTTTCTGTCTTTTTGCTATTGTGAATAATGCTGCAATGAACATGGCTGTGCATATGTCTATTGATGTTTATTTCTTTAGGGTATACACCTAGGATTGCTGGAACACATGGTATTTCTATTTCTAGGTTTTTAAGGAAGCACACTCCCGTTTTCCATACTGGTTGTTCCATTTTACATTCCCACTGGCAGTGTATAAGAATTCTAATCTCCCCACAATCTCTCCAACATTTGTTATTTTCTGTTTTTTTGATTGGTGCCAGTAATGTGGGGTGAGATGGTATCTCACTGTAGTTTTGATTTACATCTCTATAATGGCTAATGATCACAAGCATTTCCTCATGTGTTTGTTAGCCGTCTGAATGTCTTCTTTGGTGAAGTGTCTGTTCATATCCTTTGTGCATTTTTTAATTGGATTGTTTGCCTTTTTGTTGTTGACATGTTGAAATTTTTAACAGAAATTTTAGAGATTAGACTCTCGGATATGTCATAGCCAAAAATTTTTTCCCAGTCTGTAGGTTCTCTTTTTACTCTTTCGAAGAAGTCTTTTGATGAGCATAAGGGTTTAATTTTTAGGAGGCCCCATTTATCTAGTTCATCTTGTGCTGTTTGTGCATTTTTAGTTATGTTTGGTATTCTATTTGTGCCATATATTAGGGCCCCTAGCATCGTACCTATTTTTTCTTCCATGATCTTCATAGTTTTAGGTTTTATATTCAGGTCTTTGATCCATTTTAATTTTTGTGTGTGGTGTGAGGTACAGGTCCTGTTTCAGTTTTTACAAATGAACATCAGTTTTGCAAGCACCATTTGTTAAAGAGCCTGTCTTTTCCCCATTTAGTGGACTTTGGCCCTTTGTCAAAGCTCAGCTGTCCATAGGTGGATGGATTTACGTCTGGATTCCCAATTCTGTTCCACTAGTCTATGTGTCTGTCGTTGTACCAGGTAGTGTGAGGCCTCCTATTTTGTTCTTCTTCTTCAATAATGCTTTGCTTATCTGAGGCCTCTTTCCTTTCCATATAAAGTTGGTGATTAGTTTTTCCATCTCATTAAAAAATGCTGCTGGAATTTGGATCGGGATGGCATTATATCTTTAGACCACTTTGGGTAGAATTGACATTTTCACAATGTTGAGTCTACCTACCCGTGAGCATGGTATGTTTTTCCATTCATGTAGGTCTCTTTCGGTTTCTTTCAGTAGAGTTTTGTAGTTTTCTTTGTATAGGTCTTTTACGTCCCTGGTTAGATTTATTCCTACATATTTTATCTTTTTGAGGGCTACTGTAAATTGTATCATTTTCCTGGTTTCCTTTTCAAAGTTCCCTTTGTTGGTGTCTAGGAATCTAACTGATTTTTGTATGCTGATCTTGTATCCTGCTACTTTGCTGAATCTTTCTATTAGTTTCAGAAGAAAAACATTCTTATCAATGACATCTCAAAAACACCTTTGTTTGATGAAAAATTTACACAGTGAAGCAGATGATAGGGGTATTCTTCAGTTAAAAAAGAGTTACTTCAATACTCAAACTAAATTAGAATTCCTTTGTGGATACATTTAAGTAGAAATTAATAAAGTTATGATAAAAAGACCATGAAGTTCTCCATCATATCTAAATATCATAGTTAAGAGTTATTGCTACAAGTTTTTGGCCTCATTAAATGTACCTGCCAGCAGAAAAAACTGAAAATCATTCCAACATATATCTTAGCCCATTAGAATATCACTATAAGCTGAAACATTCAGTTCTTAAAACTATTGCTACCATGCATTAAATTTTATATATTGTCATTAATTTTCTATAATTTTTCTCTCCTTTAAGTTGAAAATTATTTTTGCTTGAAATATGTTTCATGCTGATATAATACTTTCTTTAACCAGGAGCTCTCATAGGGTAAATCACTAATCTCTCAACTCCTGTGGATAATAGTTTTTACTCAGTTTGAGAGTGATTAAGTAAGAATATCTGTAAGGCAGTGTCTGACATACAATAGGTACTCCATATACAGTATCAGAATGAGCAAAGAGAAATTACAGAATGGAAGGTTTTGATAAAGATTTCCTGTATTTGTTGGTGGCTAACTTTATCAGTCTTTGAAAAGCCTAAGATTGACAAGATAAGATTGTTTCAGGTTTTTTTTTGTTTGTTTATTTTTTTATTGTAATTTAAATGAAGGTTTACAGAACAAAGTAGCTTATTATTAAACACTTAGTACACATATTGTTTTATGACATTGATTAACAACCCCATGACATGTCAACACTCTCTCTTCTCGTTGGGTTCCCTGTTACCAGCTTTCCTGTCCCCTCTTGCCATCTAGTCCTTGGGCTGGTGTGCCCCTTTAATCTCGTTTTGTTTTATGGGCCTGTCTAATCTTTGGATGAAGGGTGAACCTCAGGGGTTACTTCATTATTACTGAGCTAAAAGGGTGTCCGGCGGCCATACTCTCAGGGTTTCTCCAGTCTCTGTCAGGCCAGTAAGTCTGGTCTTTTTTTTTTGTGAGTTAGAATTTTGTTCTACATTTTTCTCCAGCTCTGTCAGGTTCCTTTCTTGAGATTAATACATTTTAATGAATGATGTTGCAACTTGACTACATTGAATTTTAACGTAGAATAAGAACAAATATTTCAATCCATACCTAGAAGACAGCAATAAACTGAATTATCTTTTTACCAGTTTACCAGTCAGATTATCTTCAGTGTTGTATTACAACTTGATATTGTTGTTAAAAACCACTACCTGGAACAATCAGGGGCAAAAGAGTTCATTAATACAACACTTTACCTTTAATTCCAGCCCTCTTTGTATCATCAATGGTTAAAAGTATATCTACTGCACTTTGAGCATTATCAGATAGCTTTTCTTCACCTTCTGGCCAAGGGATATCTACAAATATACAAATAAGCTTGTTAGTCATTGCTCAAAATAATAATAAACAGATATATATGATAAATGAATCTATCTTAATAAGAGAGAAAGAATCACCTCTTTTCAGAATATTCTGGAAAACTTGTTGCGGTGTTTCATCATTGAAGGGGGGAATTCCTGTCAGAAACTCAAACAAGCAAACTCCAAGTGCCCACCAGTCTACTGCAGGACCTAGAATTTAAGAGGAAGTTGCAGAACTTGCAGACATTTTCTACAAATGTTTCATCAATGGAAACATTAACAAATGGATATTTGTGCATAGTCTAAGCATTCATTTCCTAAGGCTTTCTTTATTCTGGTGTTATATCTGTTGCCATCAAATCAAATCAATTCCCACTCATAGTGACCCTAAAGGACAGAATAGAGCTGCCCCATAGGGTTTCCAAGCAGACTGCCACATCTTTCTCCTGCAGAGAAACAGGTGGATTCGAACTGCTGACCTTTTGGTTAGCCGCTGAGCACTTAACCACTCTGCCACCACGACTCCTCTCTGGTGTCATAAGGTACAAAAACCCAAATAACCTTCATTTAGCAATGTTGGCATTACCTTCCTCCTCTATTTTCCAAGAAGTTTGGATTAGTTACTACCACTGCTAGTTAAAGAAAAGTTAAAGCCATTTTTTGTCATTTCTTTAATAACTTCTGATAGTCTGGATACTCTTATGTGTTCTATATCCTAAAATATAACCAAAGGATACATTTATCCTACAGACTATTCTCTAAAATATCTGACTACTTCTCAACTTAAAATCAAGAGATAATAATACTTATATTATTATTCTGTATTCTACTTGTTCCATACAAAGTATGAGATGAGGTAGCAACATTTATCCCAGCTGGAGGGTAACCCGGCAACCATGAAAGCCTTAATTACAGAATGTTTTAATGTAGCTTTATTCATTTTAAGAACACACTGACAAATTACTGAATATTCACATAAACCAGGGCTTGAAGAGGTAATTAGGAGATAAGTTTTAATAGAGAAAACTGATTTCTAAACAACACCTTTATTGGAAGCATCGTTTTATACAAAGATGTTTCAAATGATTATTTTCAACATGACCCTATAAACTGGTTTATACTTTTGATTAGTTCTGTCTATGTAGAAAGTGTTTCCTAAGCAAAAATTAATTTGAATCTAAAAATGGTTAAGTTCAATGCAAATTTAGAATAGGAATTCTAGTCTAATGTTAAATTTGTCTTAAAAGTTACAATGCCAAAAAGTTCATTACTATGATTCGGCAACTGCCACCAACCCATTTTAAAAGAAGTCGGCAAATACTGTAAAATCTGCCCGTAGGAAAAATGATTGCATGCATTAGGAGTGCCTATTTACCTGCAAGCCACATAATCCCAGCTTCCCTTTAAGGAATATAAGATGCAAACAGTCCATAGGCTTCTGTTTATATAGTAATCACTATAAAAACATACAAGCCACCTCAGTTAGTAGACCTTTTAAGGAGCACTGAGAAAGAATTATTCCAGTCGATCAGATAACATGAAAAGGCTTTAGCCAAATAACAGAGAAAGTGGAGAGAAATCAGAGGAAAACATTTATTTTTACGTATTTTACTTAAGTTAGAAATTAGGACCCTTTTCCCAGCTCAGCCAAAATGTATTTATGCCCAAAATACACGTATTTTCTCCATGGATATGTCACACATACTTGTATATATGAGTCAAAGTCTAATCAGATCACATATTTTGAAGAATCTTAGTAATTATAATAATATTAGCTAGGGAAATCGCACAAATATATTTTACACTACTGGCTTTCTAATTTAAAAACCTACATTCACAATCTATAGGGATAGATGTATGTTATTATACTTTACATTTTCTTAATGGAATTAAATGGTTTAGAAAATCCTAGATCTTTTTTAACTACTAATTTTAATATTTTATCAAGCCTATTTCCTCTGCAATAAAGAAGCTGTATCTTCACTCAGATACCCTTAAAAGTTATATAAAAAATATCACATGCCTACATTTCTTCTCACAGACATCAGCCTTTCTGGATTGTCTTCCCTCCCAGAAGACAGTTTATTTCTGTATTTCATAAGTGAGCTGAAAACGAAAAAGAATTTTTTTTTTCTGCAATATGATCTAGTTATACTTTGACTGTCCAGTTTAACATACTGTGCCATATTACTTTATAGAGAAGCTCACTCATCTGAAGTCAGAAATCCTGCATATAAGAAAAAAGTTGTTAGGGGTATTATATAAAAATTATGAGTTCATTATTCATTGAACTAGCTACCCAGGTATTGTGCCCAAATATCAGGAGCACCAAGATGAATAATAAAAACATCTTTTCCTAAGGAGAAAACAGCCTATGCTGGGAGATACAAACAGATCATTATAACCCAATGTTAAGAGCTGAAACAAAAAATATGCACAAGAAACTATGGAAACTCAGGACTGAGTACCTAAGTAAGCTTAGCTGAGGGGGATAGACCATGGAGAGCATCAGAGAAGAAGTTGTATCTAAACTCCAGCTTGAAAGAAAATTAGGAGTTGGTTATGCAAATAAAGTAGGAAAAAGCATTTCAGACAGCAGGAAAGCAGAAGCAAAGGCACAGAGGTAAGACAGAACAAGCTGCATCTGGGGAAACGCATGTAGGTTTCTATGATTAGTTTTGGCTGCATATAAGCAGACAAGAAGAGATGAGTCTGAAAGGCAGATAGGGCCAGACCAAAAAAGGTTAGGAAGTCAAGTCAGTGAGTATAAGAGGCTGCAGAGGTATACTTGATTCAGTATTTTGTTTTTTTTTTTAAGACGGTAGAACTGAGTATGATATGTGTGGGGAAAGGAGTTGAGAGAGAGACTACACATGCATCTTCCATAGTAGGAGGTCAAAAACTAATGTCTAACATAAAACAATCAAGAAATGGCAGTACATATGTATGCTATTTAGAAATACAGAAGAAATAATTAAGAGTTGAAAGTGTCCCTGGGGGGTGGGATTTGGGGAAAGAAGAGAACAGGGAATTGCTATTTTTTATTATAAATTGTGTTACACTGTTTGTTGTCTTAAAAACAATATATTACTTTTATAGAAAATAAAAATTTAAAAATATATCACTAGATATCTGAGGTAACTAGATGTCCCACTAAAATAGTGACAAGGTTCTATAAAGTAAATCCTTAAATTTGAAGCTTACTTTCATGTTGTTGTTGTTGTTAGGTGCCGTTGAATCAGCTCTGACTCATAGTGACCCTATGCACAACAGAATGAAACACTGCCTAGTCCTGTGCCATACTCACAATCGTTGCTATGTTTTTTGTACTGTATCCTAAGTTAGACAAGATGCAAATTATAATATAGGAAATGGGCAGGCTTTTAGTAGAATTGGGCTCTTAACTGGCAACTCTGTGACTTAGCAAAGGGACACTGTACAAAAATCAGTTAACTGCCCACAGGAACTTAGTTGCTTTGGCTAATAAAGAAAAGAGAATATTAAATAAGTCAATTTATTTCCAATATTGTAAAGATTGTTAAGAACAGTTATTGAGTACTTCTAAGGAATTTTTCTGGAGTTCTATGTAGAAGGCAGAAAACCCAGATTCTGCTCTTAAGAAAATTTCTTAAGCTTTTGTAGTGGAGACAGATATTTATAACTAATTACAACACAGGAAGAATGACACGTGTTTTAAGCAGTTTCTAATAAAGTGATATAGGAATTTATAACAAATTGTCCATAGTTGCCCAAGGGATGCTTTATGGAAGAGGTGATATTTAAGTTGATGATGGGAAGAAACTTAATTGAAAATTATTGGGGACTGGCCTTTCTAAACTAAGGCAAAATTCATGTGCAACATAAGGAAGACCTGGCAATAAGTGTGTTTAAGAAGTGGAATAGGGAAACAAGGCATATAAAGAGATTCTTTGACAGGTGAGGTTAGTATAAGAGCTTAGAGCTTAAAATGCCATGCTCAGTAACTTTGATTTTATTTTGCAGGTAAGAGGGAGCCAGCACAGCTTTTTGAGGAGGAAAGTGCCATGAACCACTTTATGTTTTAGAAAGAGAAATCTGATGACAATTATTACAGACACCTGGCTGAAATTGAAGAGACCAGTTAGAAAGCTATTTAAGTAATTAAAGTGAAAGATGAAATTCTTACATAGAAATGAACTGGATTTGTATGCCTAAATGTGGGGAAGGTGACTGTCACTATAAAGATGGTGAAACTGAGACAGGGAACAGAGGATGATCAAGCTTGATAAGCTCAGCTTTGAGACACAAAGTTTGAAAGACCAGTAGAATATCGAGTAGGCAGTTTGGGCATGAGTCTGCCACTTAGAGAAACTCAGGATTAGAGATAAAGATTTGAGAATCATCAACATATAGGTGACAACTGAAGTCGTGAGAGTGATGATATTAACAGAGAGCACGTGGAGCGCTGGTGGCACAGTGGTTAAGACCTTGGCTGCTAACCAAAAGGTCGGCAGTTCAAATCCCCCAGCCACTCCTTGGAAACCCTATGGGGCAGTTCTACTCTGTCCTATGGAGTTGATATGAGTCTGAATGGACTCAATGGCAACAGGTTTATGTGTAAGGAAAAAAAGGGTACAGGGCAGAATCTTGAAGAACTTCTGTAGTTAGAAGAGACAAGGAAGGAAACTGAGGAGAAGCAATAGAGGTAAGAGGAATGAGATAGAGAAGAGACTGGTAGACTTGATAATAAGGACATCACTGGTGACGGTAAAGAAAATAGTTTTAGTTACATATAAGGGTAACAATACGATTGTCAGAGCAAAAATAATCAGGCAAAGAAAATAGGAAATCTTTAAAAAGTCAGGCAATGAGGGGAAAACAAGGTTGGTAACATATTTTCAACCTGAGGAGAAAAGCTAGCAAAGAAGTAAAAATGGAAGAAGGAGTGTGTGTGGAGTGGGGAGGATGAGATAGATGATCGTGAAAGGAGCCAAAGGAAAGGGAAGTAATTAATATCAAGATGTACGAGAAGGGGTTCGTTTCAGAATGTAGGAATGGAGGATAGGTAAAATGTCATCCTTTTATTCTTTTATGTTCCATTTTTAAGGATGGTTCATTTCTGGTTTGATCCTTCTGGTGAGAGTATAAATGAGAGTAAACTCTAAACAGGAATAGGCTTCAGAAGATTAAACAGAAATTTAGACCCAATTTTGTATTCCTGAGCAGTAACTAGAACAGACCTGAGGAAACATTACAACAAAGGAAATATAGAAAGGGCCAAACGGAGTGGGAGGTGGGGCTTCTTTGGATCATTAAGATTGAGTCAGACAGCAAAGGACAAATGGCTGCATATTCTTCAATGTCTGGTCTTTCACATTCAGAGAAGAAGACAGCCATGGCCATTTCTTTTTTCCTTTCCTACAATAAATGTCATATATATATGTAAGAAAAGAGTATTGCATGAGTTTATTTTGTTTTACTTAGGCATTCTAAATACAAAGACATTTAAAAACAATTTTACCTCAAAAGAAAATGTAGCCATGGATAGATTAACACTTCAAAAACTCAAGTCATGCGTCTCTTACCGTGGGCCTTGCCTAATAACAACTCAGGTGCGAGGTAGTCCGGGGTTCCTAGAATTCGCCCATCATCCACTGGGGCTGCCCCTCTTCTCACACTCTTTGGAGTTCGGTATGGAGTTCCTGACTTGTTCTGATTTGGGGTCTGCTAATTCACGAAGAGTTTGAAAGACAACAAACATCTTAATTCCTTTGACAGTGAATATAAATGCTAAAAGAAAACTTAGGGCATAGGCTGCCAGCATAAAATATGTACTCAAATCCTGCCTTGGTCAGTTTCGAATATGGGCTCATAACTATTTATAATTATGAAAAGTCCTAATTGCTAACGAAGTTCAATAGCTTAGATAACACCAGTCATTTCAGTAAGATCCTGTATATGCAAGAAACAATGAATAAAAACCACAAGAAAGAATTTCTTGATAGCATGGATTAATACAAGCCTAACAGCCACTGAGGGAAGCTGTGGCTGACAAATGATTGAGTTATTAGGACATTACACAAGACAGAACTAAATCTAAATAACCTCTTGTACTAAATGGCACTTAAAAGTTTTCATGATACTTTGTTGTCTCACACCAACCCTGTGGGATCCACAGGACAGGTACCATCATCCCCAAAAGACAGATGGAAAAACAGTGGCTCTGAGGTTAAGTAACTTCTTCTAAGTCACTAAGTAAGTTTTAGATAGAAAATCCAAGTCCTGTAACCTTGAATTCAGGGTTTACATTTTTAATATTCTGATATCCTTCCAAAGTAAGAAAAAAAAATTGTTTATAAAGGTAAAAGTGTAGAAAATAAAATAAGATTTGAAATATACAGTTTTAAACTTTTTTTCAATAAAGAAAAGAGATCACCTAAGTAAGTCCTTAGAAGGCAGTAAGCTAGAGTGCATTTAAATTTTGTATCACAGTGTTGCGGGGATTAAGTGAAAATATGTGATTGTATTTTCTTAGATAAGGATATAAAGCTATACAAATGGAAGAAGGCACGGTACTTAGTAATAATAATAAATGTTATTACTACCGGCTTTATCTTTCTACATTAAAACTCCCCAAACCCATAGATTCTTAACAAAAGGAACAAAAATATATGATGTTAGGCACAGTCCAGTTGAGAGGCAAGTGTCTGGCCTTCATAGTTTATTTTTCCAAAATCTAAAGAACAAAATGTTACAAAAGTTATAACGTACCTGATATGGCATACAGGATCTTCTTTTTTGAGTAGGGGTTACAGCCATGGGATATGAACCACTATAAGCACATGAAATATCCATTGCTTCTAAAGGAGTAATGCTCATTTTGCATGGTTCTGAGTTACTGGATGCATTAATGTGGCTGTTAAAACTTCGAAAAGCTACAGCATTTCTCTTAGAGATGGTTAATGTTTTCAACACCTCTGAAGAAGGAGCTAACATTTTTTCACTGTCTTGGACAGCAGGATTCTCATCACCTTTTGGCAAGGCACTTTCTTGATGGTTTGGTGATATAGTCAGTAGGTCTGCAATATTTGATTCTTCAAAAGAGAATTCTTTGATGCTTTTCTCTGGATCTAAAGATTGCTTTTCTAATGAACTTTCCATTATAGAAACTCCAGGAAAAGATGAATCAGAATCTACATACGTACTCTTAGGAGCTCTATCATCATCAGAACACAGAAAACTAGAACTTAAGTAGCCCTGCTTACTGCTCTTTTCACAATCTTCATCCAGTTCACACAGAAGGTTTTTTGCTATCATTGGGACAGGTGATTTTTCTGGTGTTTGCTGTTTATCAATAAAAGAATTGACAATGTTCTCCTTATTATTACAGTCATTTTGCTGACTTCTGTATACCGATATCTTAAGGTCCTGGACTTCAGTTGTTAAGCCTGTACTTTGACTTGCATAACAATCCATCACTTCATTAGTACAATCATACTCTACACAATTTTTTTTATTCTGTATAATTTCTTCACAAGGACTAGATTCAACCAACTCAAAGCTTCTCTTTAGACCTTTCTTTCCAAGGTGCTCTTCAGTCATATTACCAGAATCCACACTCCACTGATTTGACTGATGAAAACCAGACGGTTTTATGTCAGTGGGCATATTAATAGTATTTACATCCAGTTCTCTCGCTTCCCAAGAAACTTTCCCAGAGAAGCATTTTGTAGCAATGCTTACCCAAGAGCTTCCAGTGTCAGGAATGCCACTGCTGGAGTGAATGGGAGAAAGAGCTAACTCAAGATCCTTTTTATTGAAATTTCTGGTCTGGATGGCATTTGTAGATTTTGTACATAAAGGTTTTTCAGTTGTATTTGAACTCATCATCGTAGAGCCCAATGCGTCATCATTTTCCTGAGAGGGGAAAAAATACTTTTTTTTAGTATTTTAGCTGAGATTCTTTAACTTTGTTGACCTTTGAATACTTAAACCGAAAACAAACTCATTGTCATTGAGTTGATTCTGACTCATAGTCGACCCTATAGGACAGAGTAGAACTGTCTCATAGGGTTTTCCAAGGAGCAGTTGGTGGATTCAAACTACTGACCTTTTGGTTAGTAGCTGAGCTCTTAACCACTGTGTCACCAGGGCTCCAGTATAGTTAGATGAGATAAATGGCCTCATTAACTACTATACTACCTATTCTCACTCTTCAGTGGAACAGAAGCGCAATAACAGAGAATTAAAAAGCAAAATAAACAATTACAGTATAAGTTTATACATATTATTTTGAGTGAAAAATTGATCAAAAATTTAAACACATTATTCTATAATACTGATTTTGACAGACTATTATATGTTATTTAAGTAGGACAAGCTAATAGGCAACACATTCAGGCAAATTTGGGAGTAAGGCTACATTATGTACACATCTGTTTTACGACAGGGGTATGGATGATTCTGTTTTGAATTGCAAAATGCATGGTGCTTGAAGCCTAGTTATTGGAAAATTATAGACCAAAATTGTAAATATGTATCACTTCACACAGGTACAATAAAACCAAGCTGATAAGGATAAAGCTAAACTAATAGTATTTTATAATTAGAAAATAAAATCAACAGAAATTAAAATCCATGTCAATAAGACGAACTGATGATACATTGATAACAAAATGCTTTTCTTGAAAAGTGTTTGAATTCCAACTATCTGTGGGTGCTCACACACAGTCAGAGCTTTATACATAATACCATAAACTGGTGCAGGTAACTAGGATTTTTAAAAGATTACTCAATTAGAGTGAGTTTTCAGTAAACTCTTTTAACGCCTAATTTTGATGTGTGAATAGCAAACTTTAGTAACTATCGTTAACTTAAGGAGCACTTAGTCACGATCATAAAGAAAATTCCCACGATTACAAGTCACTGGTCCATAAGCACAGAAAATGATACATTCTGGGATCAATACAAGGTTTAATCAGGGGATCCCATGTGGCTCACCGCCACCCCTCTGATCATAACTTGAGAACTACTGCTATAATAATATTACTGCATTCCTCAGGGGTGCAGAAGAAGTGAGAGGAGGAAGGTAGACTGTGTATAGTTTGAAATCGTACAGAATATACTTTCTTGAATAGGAAAGAGATGGAATAATAGTGCTAAGAATGGAAATCTGTTCAGTCATTTCCAGACAAACAGAAATTAAGGGACTATGTAAATACCAAACCGAACTTACAAGACTTATTAAAGGAAGTTTTTTGATCTAAGAACAAACAATATCAGACCACAGGCTGAATATAGGACACAGGATTGTACCAGCCAGATACCAATCTAGGAAATGAACCCTTAAGGACTATGCAAAACCAAAAAAATTACAAAAGGGAACCAGAGAGGTTAATCCGTAAATGACAACAGCATCAGAACAATAAAAAGAGGGAATAAACGGTGTAGGTATAGAACCTTCTAATGGAGAGGAAGTCAAGCAATACCAAGTAATAATAGACTGGTACAAATTCAGGAAGGTAAGGGTAAATTTCAAGGTAACCACAATGAAAGTTAACAAATCTACTCATCAAAATAAAGAAGAAAAACATAAAGACTCAGTAAAAACAAAACCTACAAAAACAAAAGAAATGAAAAAAAAAATCCACAAACAAAAGGAACTCAGCACAGGAGAGTAAGAGGAACAAAGAAAACGTCAGCACCACAAAAAACAGCACTACAAAATGCAATCCCACTCATAGGAATATATCCTAGAGAAATAAGAGCCGTCACACTAATAGACATATACACACCCATATTCATTGAAGCACTGTTCACAAAAGCAAAAAGATGGAAACAACCTAGATGCCCATCAACAGATGAATGGATAAACAAACTATGATACATACACACACTGGTGTATTATACAAAGATAAAGAACAATGATGAATCTGTGAAGCATCTCATAACATGGATGAAACTGGAGGACATTATGCTGAGTGAAATAAGTCAGTCACAAAAGGACAAATATTGTATGAGACCTCTACAGTATAGCTCATGTAAAAGTTTACACACAAAAAGAAACAATCTTTGCTGGTTACGAGGGATAGGAGGAGTTGGTGGGAAACTAAATAGATAAGTGGTAACTTTGGTGAAGGGTAAGACAGTACACATTACCGGGGAAGCCAGCCCAACTTGTACAAGGAAAGGTCATGGAAGCTCCACAGACACTTCCAAACTCCCTGAGGGACTGAACTGCTGGGCGGAGGGCTGTGAGGACCATGGTCTCGGGGAACATCTAGCTCAATTGGCATAACACAGTTTATAAAGACAATGTTCTACATTCCACCTTGGTGAGTAGCGTCTGGGGTCTTAAAAGCCTGTGAGCAGCCATCTAAGATACTCCACTGGTCTCACCCCTTTGGGAGCAAGGGAGAATGAAGAGAACAAGATGCAAGGAAAAGATTAGTCCAAAGGACTAATGGACCACAGCTACCACGGCCTCCACCAGACTGAGTCCAGTACAGCTAGATGGTGCCTGGCTACCACCACTGACTGCTCTGACCGGGATCACAATAGAGGGTCTTGGACAGAGCTGGAAAAGGATGTAGAACAGAATTCTAACTCACAAAAAAAGACCAGATTTACTGGCCTGACAGACTGGAGAAACCCGGAGAGTATGGCCCCCAGACGCCCTTTTAGCTCAGTGATGAAGCCCCTCCTGAATTTCACCGTTCAGCCAGGGATTGGACAGCCTCATAAAACAAAACGGGACTAATGAGGCACAGCAGTCCAGAGACAAGGACTAGAAGGCAGGAGGGGACAGGAAAGCTGCTGATAGGGAACCCAAGGTTGAGAAGGGTTAACACGTCATGGGGTTGTTAACCATTGTCATAGGGCAATATGTGTACTGTTTAACAAGAAACTATTTTGTTCTGTAAACCTTCCTCTAAAGCACACACACAAAAAAAGAATTATCTATGTGAGATCAAATTGACAACAGCAACCCAAAAGGTTTGATGGGAAGGAAGCCTAGGGGACAGTGAGTTGAAGATAATGCTGATGGAATAATTTGGATAAGGATAGTGAGAATAGCAGCACAGCTGGAAGAATGTAATCTATGTCACTGAATTGTACATGAAGAACCTTTTGAAATGGTGTAACTTTGGCTGTGTATATTTTCACCTAAAAAAAGGTCCTCAAGGTCGAGAAGGGAGAGTGTTGACACGTCGTGGGGTTCTTAACCAATGTCATAAAACAATATGTGTATTCACTGTTTAATGAGAAACTATTTGTTCTGTAAACCTTCATCTAAAGTACAATAAAAAGAATGGAAATCTGTTTATCCAGCAGCATATTCTACCTATACAGCAGTCTAAAGGAGGGAAGGAAAAAAGATTAAAAAACCTTGCCTTACCTAAAAAATAATTTGACTTTACTCTTAGATTACAACTATCCAACAATAATGAAGAAAATCATATTAATGAGAATAAGGAACATATATAATCTAAGTTATTTTATCAAATGAAAGGTTTATTCTGTATTACCATTATTCTAACATTACACTATTTTATCAACATTCCATGAAGGAGGCCTTACTATAATTTTAAATTTTAGTTCCTATCAGTATGTATTAGCTTTAACAAATAAATAAGGGCAAAAATACAGTATACAAATTAAGTAAAATAACTTTAAGTAAATGTATTCACTTGGTAAGTGATCTCCTCAGAATAGATACTTTAAGGATGTACCTACATTACCTTTGTGGTCTAAAAGTTATTTCTGATCCAGAAGTTACCATTCCATTAAATTAGAAACTAGGGGTAGAAACAGTAAAGATGGAGGTAGTATGAGTTTTAAATAATATATAGGTTTTAAAAAATAAACAACCAGCTAATATAGACAGCAGGGTAGGGAATTTAAAAAAAAAAAAAAAAAGCAGCAGCAACATTTAGATGTCTAGAAGTCAAACATCTATCAATTTAATGCAAAAATTTTAAAGAATTGGAATCTTTTTATATAGTCAAGTAAGAACAATTTCATATCTGAATGAGGAATGAAATATTTCCAAAGAATTTCACAGAATGTACAAGAAATTCATATTTAATAATTTCATTTCCTTACAGAATTTACATGAAAAGGTATAAAAAAGTATTTCTATCAATCTGACATACATAATTATTCCAGGTAAGATAAAATTTACTCTAACCTGGCAATCCTTTTCCCATCTGGGGCTGCTATGGTATTCTGATTCCATACTGGATAGAAAAGTATGGGACTGACTACTGGCACTAGATGTAGCCAGCCTTTTCCTAGACTGGAGTAGATTAGAAGTTAGACATTTCACAGGCATTCCTGGGTTAGAGGCAACTGTTTCAAGACCTGGGGGAAAGAGAAAGAATTGAAGTTTCTATCACATTTTTCTTAGTTCTTAAACTAAATCTTTATAGATAATTAGCCAAAGAATAAGGTATTGCATACATAACTATTTCTACATAAACACTATTCAATCTACATGGATGGCTGCATGTTTTTCTGGCATGATTTCCATAATGTTCAGATATAGAAATTATTATAAATAAATACCAGTCCTGCTCTGAAAGTTTAGACAAAACAAAACCCCCTCAACATTAGTAAAATCAAAATCAGGACAAGGGAAATAATTTATAATTAGGAGGGAATCAATTTTAGTACACGCATCCTTTCAGTGGAATTCCTGAAACTCACTGAGTACTGACATTGCTATCTGGCTAAATTGCTCAGCTGCATGCCCCCAGTACTATGGGAACTTGTGCCTAATCGAATGCCAGGTGCATACTGTATATTTGCTATGAGTTCTTTCTGGACCACTGATATGATCAGACCATTCCGTACTTAGGAATCTTTGATAGCTCCCCATTTCCTATAGCTTAAGTCTAAGACTCCCTGTAATGACACTTACTCCTTCCCTATCTACCCGCCAAGCTTCCTTTCCCATTGCACACGCTTTCCATTCCCCCACATTATATTTAATCCCTACTGTCTGAACGTGGAATATACTTTCATGCACCTATGCCTCTGCTCATGTTAGTATATCTACCTGAAATGCCTTTTTCCACTATACTTTCCACTATATTGCCATTATTAACGTCCTGCTTGTCTTCCTGGGTCCAGCTTGGCTGTTGCTATATCATTATTTGTTGCTGTGTTAGGTGCTGTTGAACCGGTTCCAACTCAAAGTGACCACATGCACAAGAGAACCATTCTAATAATGAAATTTAGGAAAACCAGAACCTGTAGCTGTTGAGTTGATTCTGACTCATAGTGACACTACAGAACAGAGTGGAACTACCCATATAGGATTTCCAAGGCTGTAAGCTTTACAGAAGCAGACTGCCACATCTTTCTCCCGATGAGAGGCTGATGGGTTCTAACTGCCGACCTCCGGATTAGCAGCTTAGCACTTAATCAGGGTTCCTTTGTTACATATGCCTTGATATTTTTTTCTTCTTTTTAGTCATTTAATTAGGTTGAGGGGGGAAGTTTTATGATCATGTTTATACTTGCTAGAAACTTCAAATATATGCATATTTGAATTACTAAAATTGATAATAAAAAACTTAAATTCTAAATCATTCTGTTTCTCATAGGACACACTTAATGGAAAAAACTACCTTTTATTTTATACTTACATGATTTTAGTAGTTTGCTAGAATAAGGAGCAGTATCCTTTTGATCTACAGACATAGGACAAATTAGTCCTTGAGAAGACTGTGATGTTTCAGATACATGGGTTGAAAGACTATCTGTACAGTCTTGAATTTTTTCTGCAACTGGGGTGTACTATTAGAAAGATAAAAAAAACAAAAAAGCTAAAGATTTACCTTCACAAAAATACCTCCAAAGTAGATAGACCGTTATACCACCTAAGCAGATAACCTATTAAGCTAAAAGTAACTCAACATGCTTGGTAGTTAAATCTTTATTGATCATTTATTTTTTAAAAAAGGAATACAGTTCAGAATACATGAAAGAAGGATGTTGGGATTTAAAATTTTAAATGGCAATCATAGAAAGGGCATGTTATATGAGTTTCTTCTTATCAAGTACTTACAAATCCCAAAGAGCTGATGAGAGATAATACTTGGCCTGGAGTTCTTGAATAGTCTTGTCTAGGTTTAGCCATTGATGGTGTTGTAAGGATATCCATCATATTGATATCTGCGTATGCAAAGAAAAGTATATGAAATTCTTTAAAAACTCAGCTATCATCAACCAAGTCAATAATCACACATTCTGAACTTTGCTTCTCTTTCCATACTATTAACCTTACTACGACTGGCTAGTGTAAGATAAATATACCCAGGAAGGCTATCACATCGTACAGGAAACTAATCAACTGATTGCAATCATCAAAAAGTTTCATAGAACAGAGTCTTGCTCTGAAATGAATAGAACAGTGAAATGACCCAAATTCTTAGCTTTCTAGGGAGTACTTTGTAACATATATATATAACGAACTGTATGTTCATTTCTCTGATTTTTTGTTTATCAAGGTGTTGGTGGTGGTAATGTATATTTGAATAAGTTCTTCAGCTATCGACCCTTCATCACATTATAGCTATTTTAGCCATTTTACAGATGTTTAATTGTGAGAATCAGTTTCAGAAGGGATAAAGAAATCAGTAGAACAGAAACTGTGAGTTCCTCTCTAAAGATCCAAGGATCTTCAAGAATCTTTGAAGATCCAAGAATAATTATTCCCATTTTTCATCTTCAGTTGAAAAAAGACACCATTATACCATTCTAGCCTATTTTGGAACAAATAATCATCAAATTATATTCAGTATAAACTAACAAAGAAAATAGTATAAGTTAATGAAATGTAGTGTTTAAAATTTATTGGATTTTAAAAAGGCTATTTTTCTTACCTCTATTCAAAGTAACTTTGGAAAGGCCAAAATCTGTCAGTTTAATATGACCCTCATTAGAAATAAGCATATTGTCTGGTTTCAAATCTCTGCACATAAAAAAGACAAATAGCAGATAACTAATAAAGGGCTAGTGTTAATATTAGAATTATCCAAGAAAAAGAAAGAAAAGTTACAGACTCTATTTTCTCTAAAATATGGCACTTGCTGGTGGCTTTGAAAAGTGCAGAAAACAAACCTCAAAGCAAATTATCTTTCGTATACTTGAATCTATTAAAAAAAAAAAAGGTAACTTGAATCCCAGATTGTCTTTGGCATTACTCATTAGTAATTCCATTAAAATAAATAAACCTCATTAGATAAAATAAACCTCAAGCCGAGTAAAAAATCACATTTACCTCTTTAAAGGAAGGTAAGATTAGACTTAATAGAGCAGAGCCATTTAATGTGACTTTCTTCGTACAGAGCAAAATGTTGTAAATCACCCGGGACTACAAAATATAGCACTTTTGTATGATGGTAGAGGAGTCGAAAAGGATACAACATACTTCACATTAAAATGGTATACTCAACCCCCAAAACTACTGCGCTAAGATAATCCTTAAACCTTAAACCAAAAATATTCCCTGAAGTCTTCTTAAAACTAAACAATGGTTTAGCTTAACTAGCAAAGAATGTCTGCCTTGAGCATTATGCTCTTCTAAGATCTCTCTATATGGGATCAAATTGACAATAGCAACTAGAAAGATTACACAGGAACCTTAGGGGGCAATGAATTTATGTTACTGGGGAAGGAACAACTCAGAAAAGGAGAGTGAGAATGTTTGTACAACTCCAAGAATGTAATCAATGTTGTTGAATTGTACATGTAGAAACTTAAATTGGTGTGTGTTTTTGCTGTGTATATATTAACAACAACAAAATAAAATAATTAGAAAATAAAATGCCATACTCAACACAAAGCAATATATTAAAAAAAACACAAGAAGAGTTGATGAAATTTCTACACTCATACAAGTTATTATTTTAGATAATCTGGATATATGGACAAGTGCTTACTGTAAATATTTTAGGCGCAAATACATAATACATAATTGGATTACTTGCATTTTTAAGTAATAATGTGGAGAAAAGTCAGTCATTACCTGTGGATGATCCCATGTCTATGAAGGTAATCTAGAGCCAATGCTACTTCAGAAATATATTTCACAGCCATTTCTTCATCAAAATAACCATACATATGTAGGAGAGATTTGGCATCTCCACCAATAAGATATTCCATTACCTACCAAAAAGGAATGTAAGTGTTACACAATAAACAACATGATTGCTTAAAAAATATATTATTTTGGTATTATGTATTTTCAGCATGGTTCTATAACAAAGGTTTTCTTGGTATCACTCATTACATATTAATATCAGGTTTCCTCAAGTTGCCACATAGGATTTTTAATTTAACTACGCTGTTTAGTTTGAACAAAAAGTCTGACTTCCAGAAAAGTTGAAAAACATTAGAATAATTTTCCATATACCCTTCATCTGGATTCACTCATTGCTAACATTTTGCTACATTTGCTTTCTCCCTCCCCACATATATGTGTATAAAATAAGTAATATTTATATTAATATATGGGTTATTTTTCCATTGACTAATTTGAGAATGAAGTTGAACAGATCATAACCTATCAACAGTAAATTCATCATGTATCTCCTTACAAGTATATTCTTATATACCTACAAAAACCCAAAATCCGTTGCTTGATTCTGACTCATAATGACCCTATAGGGCAGTGTAGAACTGCCCCATAGGGTTTCCAAGAAGCGGCTGGTGGATTTGAACTGCCAACCTTTTGGTTAGCAGCTGAGCTCTTTTTTTTTTTTGTTTCACGACTATGAGGTTTATTAGGGAAGTAACAGGTTACAATTCAGGCTCAGGAACACTCAAGGATACAGTTCTGTCATCAGAACAGCCTCTTCCCAGCCATATGCGCAAGCACACCTCTCCCGGGCCCTAGGCCTCTGCCCAAAGACACTCAGCTTTCTCTCTCCCTGGGCCTGGGAGCCCACCGAGCTGCTCCTGCTGCCGGTCTCTCCTTCCTTTTTTTTTTTAACTGTTGTAGTTTAAGTGAAAGTTTACAGTTCAAGTTAGTCTCTCATACAAAAATTTATACATACATTGTTATGTCGCCCTAATTGCCCTCCTTATACTGTGACAGCACACTCCTCCTTTCCACCCCTGATTTCCATGTCCATTCAACCAGCTCCTAACCTTCTCTGCCTTCTAATCTCACCTCTGGACAGAAGCTACCCATTTAGTCTCCTGTATTTACTTGAGCTAAGAAGCATACTCTTCACAAGTATCATTTTATGTCCCACAGACCAGTCCAATCTTTGTCTGAAGAGTTGGCTTCGGGAATTGTTTTAGTTCTGGGTTGACAGAGTCCGGGGGCCAAGCTTTCTGGGATTCCTCCACTCTCAGTCAGACCACTAAGTCTGGTCTTTTTACTAGAATTTGAATTCTGCATCCCACCCTTCCCCCGCTCCATCAGGGACTCTCTGTTGCGTTCCCTGTCAGGACGTTCATTGGTAGTAGCCAGGCACCATCCAGTTCTTCTAGTCTCAGGCTGTTGAAGTCTCTGGTCTATGTGGCTCTTTCTGTCTCTTACGCTAATACTATCCTTGTGTCTTTGGTGTTCTTTATTCTTTACTCCAGGTGGTTGGGACCAATTGATGCATCTTAAGAGGGCAGCTTGCTAACTTTTAAGACCCCAGACGCCACTCACCAAAGTAGGATGCAGAAGATTTTCTTAGTAAACTTTGTTATGCCAACTGACCTAGATGTCTCCTAAAACCATGGGACCCAGACACCTGCCCCTGCTACTCTGTACCTTTAAGTGTTTGGTTGTATTCAGGAAACTTCTTAGCTTTGGTTTAGTCCAGTTGTGCTGACTTCGCCTGTAGTGTGTGCTGTCCTTCCCTTCACCTAAGATAATTCTTGTCTACTATCCAGTTAGTGAATAACCCTCACCCTCCCTCTCCACCCTCATAACCATCAAAGAATGGTTTCTTCTGTGTTTAAACCTTTTCTTGAGTTCTTATAATAGTGGTCTTATACAATATTTGTCCTTCTGTGACTGACTAAATTCACTCAGACTAATGACTTCCAGATTCCTCCATGTTATAAGATGTTTCACAGCTTCATTGTTGTTCTTTATCGTTGCGTAGTATTCCATTGTGTGAATATACCATAATTTGTTTCTCCATTTGTCTGTTGATGGGCACCTAGGTTGTTTCCATCTTTTTGCTATCGTGAACAGTTCTGCAATGAACATGAGTGTGCATATATCTATTCATGTGATGGCTCTTATTTCTCTAAGGTATATTCCAAGGAGCGGGATTGCTGGATCATATGGTATTTCTATTTCTAGCTTTTTAAGGAAGCGCCAAATCGATTTCCAAAGTGGTTGTACCATTTTACATTCCCACCAACAGTGTATAAATGTTCCAGTCTCTCCACAACCTCTCCAGCATTTATTATTTTGTGTTTTTTGGATTAATGTTAGCCTTGTTGGGGTGAGATGATATCTCATTGTAGTTCTGATTTGCATTTCTCTAATGGCTGATGATCATGAGCATTTCCTCACGTGTCTGTTAGCCGCCTGAACGTCTTCTCTGGCGAAATGCCTTTTCATATCCTTTGCCCATTTTTTAATTGGGTTGTCATTTTGTTGTTGAGGTTTTGCAGTAGCTTGTAGATTTTAGAGATTAGACGCTGATCTAATTTGTCATAGCCAAAAATTTTTTCCCAGTCTGTAGGTTGTCTTTTTACTCTTTTGAAGTCTTTTGATGAGCATAAGTGTTTGATTTTTAGGAGCTCCCAGTTATCTAGTCTCTCTTCTGGTGCTTGTGCATTGTTACTTATGGTTCATATTGTGTTTATGCCATGTATTAGGGCTCCTAGCATTGTTGCCTATTTTTCTTCCATGACCTTTATTGTTTTAGATTTGATGTTTAGGTCTTTGATCCATTTTGAGATAGTTTTTGTGCATGGTATGAAGTTTAGGTCTTCTTTCAGTTTTTTGCAGATGGATATCCAGTTATGCCAGCACCATTTGTTAAAGAGACTGTGTTTTCCCCCAGTTAATGGACTTTGGGCTTTTGTCAAATATCAGCTGCTCATAGGTGGATGAATTTATCTCTGGATTCTCAATTCTGTTCCACTGGTCTATGTATCTGTTGTCGTACGAGTACCAGGTTGTTTTGACTACCGTCGCAGTATAATAGGTTCTAAAATCAGGCAGTGTGAGGCCTCCCACTTTGTTCTTCTTCTTGAGTAATGCCTTACTTATTTGGGGTCTCTTCCCTTTCCATATGAAGTTGGTGATTTGTTTCTCCATTTCATTAAAAAAATGCTGTTGGAATTTGGATCAGGATTGCATTTTATCTGTAGATTGCTTTGGGTAGAATTGACATTTTCACGATGTTGAGTCTTCCTACCCATGAGGCAAGGTATGTTTTTCCACTTATGTAGGTCTCTTTTGGTTTCTCACAGTAGTGTCTTGTAGTTTTCATTGTATAGGTCTTTTACGTCTCTGGGTAGATTTATTCCTAAGTATTTTATCTTCTTGGGAGACACTGTAAATGGTATTGATTGGGTGATTTTCTCTTCAAAGTTCTCTTTGTTGGTGTAAAAGAAGCCAACTGATTTTTGTGTGTTTACCTTGTATCCTGATACTTTGCTGAAATCTTCTATTAGTTCCAGTAGTTTTCTTTTGGATTCTTCGGGGTTTTCTGTGTATAAGATTATATCATCTGCAAATAGAGGTACTTTGACTTCTCCACCCTACCAATCTGGAAGCCCTTTATTTCTTTTTAGCCTAATTGCTCTGGCTAGGACCTCCAGCACAATGTTGAATAAGAGCGGTGATAAAGGGCATTCTTGTCTGGTTCCCATTCTTAAGGGGAATGCTTTCAAAGTCTCTCCATTTCGGATAATGTTGGCCGTTGGCTTTGTATGAATACCCTTAATTATGCTGAGGAATTTCCCTTCTATTCCTATTTTGTTGACAGTTTTTATCATGAATGGTGAGCAGCCAAGCTCTTAACCACTGTGCCACCAGGGCTCCATCAGAATACTAAACCAAAACCCGTTGCCATCAAGTTGATTCTGACTCTTGGTGACCCCACAGAACAGAGCAGAACTGCCCCATAGGGTTTCCAGGAAGTGGCTGGTGGATTGGAACTGCCAACTTTTTGGTTAGCAAGCTCTTAACCACTACTGCACTAGGGCTCTGTAATATAAAAGGACACAGAAGCTAACTGAAAGGGGCTTCCACTGGCTAAAGATGGAACGATTTAAGCATAAAAAAGGATTACAACTGCAGTAGATTAAAACACATCGAATCTGTGGAAATCCATTAATTAATAAAGACACATGGAAAAGTATACTGATTTGGAGGATTTGGAAGTTCCTAGTTGGAAAATTGGTGAGTAAAAGGAAAGAATCAAGCACTTATTCTGCTTTCCTTATACAAGCTGTATATGAAAGTAATGAATTTGATGATAAAGGAAAGGTCTTTACAGAAGATTTTCAGATAATAAAAGGGGAAGGAATAATAGAATTAGAAAATCTTCATTTTGCAAACATTAATAAAATCATCAATCTAGGCAATTAAGCAAAGGATGGGAAAACCATTCAGTCAAAGGTGGACAGTACATATGTGGCAAATCGTTGATAATTGTTGAAGTTGGGTGATAAGTAAATGAGGGTCCCTTATATTAATCTTTCTACTTTTGTGTAAGTTTGAAAGTTTCCATAATAAAAAGGCCTCTTCAGCTTTATGTTCCATATATACAACAACATCTAGCATAATACCTGGCATGTAGTAGTCAATTATTTGTTGTTAAAGTGAGTGTAAATGGTTAATGCTCTGTGCTACTAACTGAAAGGTAGGGGTTAAGAGTCCACGCAGAGGTGCCTCAGAAGGTCTGGGGAGCTACTTCTGAAAAATCAGCCCCTGAAAATTCCGTGGATCACAGTTATACTCTGACACACGTTGGGTTGCCAGGAGTTGGAACTGCCTCAACAGCAACTGGTTTGGTTTTGGTTTATCGTGGGTATGTTCAGTTATACCTTATCTCTTTGCTTCAAAGTAGCTTCCCATTGCTAAGAAATTTTTTGTTTTGTCTAAACAGTGCTTCTCAAACTTATTAAAATGTGTATTCCAATTCAGCAGATTTGGAACAGGGCTTGAGAGTCTGCATTTCTACTAAGCTCCCAGATGCTGCTTGTCTGTGGATTATACTTTGAGTATCAAGGATCTAAACCTGTGATGAAGTTAGGTAGACAAGATGTAGTCCACCACCTAATTTCAGGAATAAGAAATAAAAAATACTATAGTTGTTTATCTACTGTTATGGATTGAATTGTGCCCCCCCAAAATGTGTGTCAACTTGGCTAGGATATGATTCCCAGTACTGTGTGATTGTCCACCATTTTGTCATCTGATATGATTTTCCTATGTGTCGTAAATCCTACCTCTATGATGTTAATGAGTCAGGATTAGAAGAAGTTATGTTAATGAGGCAGGACTCAATCTACAAGATTAGGTTGTATCTTGAGTCAATCTCTTTTGAGATACAGAGAGAAGCGAGCAGAGAGACAGGGGGACCTCATACTACCAAGAAAGCAGTGCCAGGAGCAGAGCACATCCTTTGGACCCAGGGTTCCTGCACTGAGAAGCTCCTAGACCAGAGGAAGATTGATGACGGGGACCTTCCCTCAGAACCGACAAGGAGAAAAAGGCTTCCCCTAGAGTGGACACCCTGTATTTGGACTTCTAGCCTCCTAAACTGTGACAGAATAAATTTCTGTTTTTAAAACCATCCACTTGTGGTATTTCTGTTATAGCAGTACTAGATAACTAAGACACCTACCAAGCTGAGTAATTCAATGCAGCCCTTCAACCACCACTGTTGGACTAGGGTTGGGGACACTTTTAGCTTCCATAGGGCTATGTCAGGATTGATGTTGCAGCTAGAGCCATGGCATTGGGAAGGCATACACATTCCATATAAAACAGTATGTGGAGACAAAAGAGATCAATGGGACCTTGTAAAAATTAAATATTTTTGTTCATAAAAGGATTTTATCAAAAAAGGAAAAAGACAACCTACAAGTTAGGAGAAAATTTTGGGGACCCACATATCTGATAAGGGTCTAAAATCCAAAATATATTTTTAAAAAACCTTCTACAGCTTCACAACAAAAAGACAACCCAATCAAAAAAATGGGCAAAGGAATTGAACAGACATGTCACCAAAGAGGATATTCAAATGTCCAATAAGCAGATGAAAAGATGCACAAAGTCATTAGCAATTAGAGATGCAAATCAAAACCACAACAAGATACCATCTCACCCCCATTAGAATGGCAATGATAAAAGAACAAGAGACATTAGTGAGGTTGTATAGCAACTGGAACTCTCATTCATTATTGATGGGAATGTAAAATGGTCCAGACACTGTGTGGAAAACAGTAAGGTGGTTCCTCAAAAAGTTGAACACAGAACTACCATTATGACTCAGGAATCCCAATCCTAGGTATATATCCAGACAGGAAAGTAGGGATGCAAACTGAAACCTGTATTCCAATGACCACTGCAACACTTTTCACAATAGCCAAAATGCGGAAATAACCTAAATATCCATGAACAGATGAATGGACATACAAAATATGGTACACACATACAATGGAATATTATTCAGCCATAAAGAGAAACGAAGTCCTGATACATGCCACAACAAGAATGAACCTTGAAAACATTATGCTGAGTGAAATAAGTCTGTCGCAAGAGGACAAATATTGTATGATCTCACTTGTATGATGTAAGCAAATACATAGAAACGAAAGATTAGTGGTTACCAGAGGTGGGAGGGAGGGGGAAATGAGAAATTATGCTTAGGGGGCAGTGAGTTTATGTTAATGGTGGTGGAATAATTTGGAAAAGGATAGGGAGAACGGTTGCACAATTTGATGAATGTAATCAATGTCACTGAATTATATCTGTAGAAATTGTTGAATTGGCGTATGTTTTGTTGTGTATATTTTCACCACAATAAAAACAAACAAACAAGAACGTGTGTGGTGAAGGCATTAGAGAGCCCTAGAAAGAATTAAATGATTAAACAGTGACCTACCTTCTTTGAGAAATGGCATATGAGAATGTTTCCTGCTAGTTATAAATTTATACCTCAGAGTAGGGGTCAGCAAGCTTTTTTTGTAGAGGACCAGACAGTAAATATTTTAGGCTTTGCGGGCCATATGGTCTCTGTTTCAACTACTCAACTCTGCCCTTGTAAAATGAGAGCTACCGTAAATATGTAAAAAAAAGTTTCAGTAAGACTTTATTCATTCACTGAAATTCAAATTTTATATAATTTCCATGTATCCTAAAATACTCTGTTTAAAAATTTTACCCAACATTTTAAAAATGTAAAAACTATCCTTAGCTCACAGGCTACACAGAAATAGACAGTGGGCCAGATTTGGGCCCTGGGCTGTAGTTTACCAACCCCTGGCTTAGAAAATGGAAAGTCAATTATTCTTATAGTATTTGGTATTTATCTTTTTATTGCCACTATATTTTTTTTTACTTGCCCAGTGTATCACCCTAAAAAGTAGACCCCCAGCTTTCTTAGAACCTAGGGTCTCATGATGGGCTGTCTTTAACCTTGCTCTGAGAGTGAATTCCAATGCAAATTCATATCCTTACTCGAAAATCCTTTCCTCTAGCATCACCAGGTCTCTTCTTCCACAAAATGAGTTCATTACAACTCAGTACTGCAATCCATGCAAAGATATGTATAGTTATTTAGAACAGTTAAAACAACAACAACAATTATAAATCATCCAAACAATCTATCAGTTGGACATTTTTTAAAGAAACTATGGGATTCATAAATAAAGCAACAGAATTCTGCACAGTCATTAAAAAGGATGAGGTCACCATTAAGTGGGAAAAAAACACATAGAAGAACAGTGTTTATAGTATGGTCACATTTCATCCACTCATTAAAACAACTGTCGTTTGTAAAAAACTTCTGTTCTTCCTGAGTGAGCCCTGATGAAAAAAAAAAAAAAAGGTGCTTACCACTATCCTAAAAAAACTTTTTACTCTCCATAGTTTTCTGGCCTTCTCATTGAATCTTTGCAACTATTTTTAACATCAGTTTAAATATACTCACAGGATCACTGAAAGATAAGAAGTGGATTGAGCCATCAGGTACCAAAAGAGTTTTGAATTAGACTATTTTTATAACCTACCCTGAATTTTCAGATCTATAGCTTGAAGCTGGATATGATATTTTACCATATTAGAGTTCTGTTCAGTCTCAAAATCTGGTATAACAAGAACTTTAACTGTGGCACAATTACGTTCCACAGAGTTAGTTGTAAGAGTTAGTTGTTAGTTGTAAAACATATTGGCGGAAAAAGGGCTTTCATTCTTGGAGGCAATCAAATTATGAAAGGAATGACCCTTTTGCTGAAAAGGAGTATAAATCTCAGGTCTCAAACCTACATCCTAAAGACTCATTCATTCATGGAAAATCATATAGTTATCAAACTTTAGTCCTCAAGCCATCTCAGAAGTCAGAAGAACCTCTGGAAATTGTAGTCAAAATACCTATCATCCTTGCCATTCTCTAACCACCTCAAATTCCTCATTAGAGTTAACTGAGTGTAAACTGCTGCTTTACATGAAAATAAAAAAACTCTCAATGCCCAAACACTGAAAACTCACCACTTCCTAGTAACTTATTACTCACCAAACTTTAAAAAGTATTTCTATTGTGTGTCCTTTTATTTAACAAACATTTTGAGCGCTATGTGCTAGACTCTGTTGTAAGTGTTTTATAATGACCTATTGAAACTCTACAACAACCTTTGAGGTAGGTACTACTCTTATCTCTATTTTACAGATGAGAACCTGAGGTATGACAGGCAAGCTAAGCTGGCCAAGGTAAGTAAGTGCCAGAGGTGGAACTCGAATGCAGGCACTCTGAACCCAGGGATTGTGCTCTAAAATCACAGGCCTCATTGATTGCTGAATGAAAAAAAAGTTATTGACTCACCAAGTATACATTGTTTGCCGACTGCAGTGAGTAGTACAAATGGACGATAAAAGGACTTTTGCTTAGCGCCAGTGCATCTCTCTCAGCTTGTACGTGATGAGTCATATTTTTGTTGATCATATCTGCCTTTTTGACAACCTATAATAGAGAACATGACGATATTTTCATTTTTTTCTTTGTTACAAAGTGTTCTCAGATTTCAAAGTTGCCATCACAGAAACACCAAAAGGAAATACACAGATCACATTGATACCATAAAACTCTGCCAGAAAAATAGCTAAGATGGTAAAAAGCTATCTTCAAGATAGAACTGATTACCTCAGCATTAGTAAGTTGCAAAAATATCACATCCCTTTGAGGAAAGAAGAATTAAACAAATGCTCCCTGACTGCCCTACATGTCAGAAATAGAAAATTCTGTTCTGCTGCTCTTATAACAAAGTAAAAAAGATATTAATGTTCCTAGTAAGCCCCAAGATAATCAGGAACCCAGGCACAGAGTAATAGGAGCTAATATATTGCCTTATTACTTCCGATTCTTTGATAGAGGGTGTTGTGGATTGAATTGTGTCTCCTCAAAATATGTGTTTGTTATGGATTGAATTGTGTCCCCCAAAAATATCTGTCAACTTGGCTAGGCCATAATTCCCAGTATTAATTGTCAACTGATGTGATTATCCTAAGTGTTGTAAATCCTGTCTCTATGATGTTAATGAGGTGGGATTAGTGGCAGTTATGTTAATGAGGTAGAACTCAATCTGCAAGATTAGGTTGTGTTTTAAGCCAATCTCTTTGGAGATATAAAAGAGAGAAGCGAGCAGAGAGACAGGGGACCTCATTATCACGAAGAAACAAGAGCCAGGAGAATAGTACGTCCTTTGGACCTGGGGTCCCTGCACTGAGAAGCTCCTTGACCAGGGAAGATTGAAGACCTTCCCCCAAAGCCAACAGACAGAGAAAGCCTTCCCCTGGAGCTGATGCCCTGAATTTGGACTTCTAGCCTATTCCACTGTGAAAGAATAAACTTCTGTTTGTTGAAGCCATCCTTTTGTGGTATTTCTGTTATAGCAGCACTAGATAACTAAGACAGTGTTGTAAACCCTAACTTCTAAACCTGTGGTTATAATCTCATGTGGGAATGGACTGTCTTTGTTATGTTAATGATGCAGGATTAGTGTAGGATATATCTTGAGTCAATCTATTTTGAGATATAAAAGAGATTAAACAAGCTAGCAGAACAGAGATGAGGGAGGATAGACGACGTCACAGCACATGAAGATCACCCAGGAGCAGAAGTTCAAAGAGACAAGGACCTTCCTCCAGAGCCAGCAGAGACAGAAAGCCTTCCCTTAGAGCCGGCACCCTGAATTCAGACTTCTAGCCTCCTAAACTGTGAGAAAATAAATTTTTGTTTGTTAAAGCAACCCACTTGTGGTATTTCTGTTATAGCAGAACTAGATAACTAACACAGATTGGAACAGAATTAGAAAGAGGAAGAATGTTGGAAGTTTGTTTGCCTAGGGAAAAATAATCTTAAGCAAGAATAGTTAGAACTGCTGAAATTTACTACTTCCAAATACTGTCCTACTGAACACAACAAGTTATTCTTTTCAAGTTTCAGGACAATTGCTATAGAAAAAAACTATAATCTACATTAATGTTGGAGCACTAAATAGTCAGTAACAATGGGATCAATTTTCAGGACCATTACAAAAAAAAAAGGCCTATTTCTTCCAAAGATTCATTTGAGTATTTAATAAAATAATAAAATCATTCGTATACAGTCAATTGCAGCCTTACCTCCTTTCCATAAGAAAACTGAGGGAAATGGACAAAGTAAGCCTGTAACATAATTTTATCCACCATTTCATTGGACTGGCTGCTCTATGAGGGCAAGTTTGTCTTGTTTACCACTGTACCCTAGAACCTACACAAAAAAGGGATGCTCAACAAATATTGATCAAACAGATGAATCTGTGTTTTCATTTCAACAATTAATATAAACTGATTACTAAGTTTAGTGACGGCAGTGGTAGAATTCTCAGCTTCCATACAACGGGAGACCCAGGTTTGATTTCTGGCCAATGCACTTCAAGTGCAGCCACCACCCATCTGTCAGTGGAGGCTTGCATGTTGCTGTGATGCTGAACAGGTTTCAGTAGAGCTTCCAGACTAAGGTAGACTGGGAAGAAAGGCCTGGCAATCCACTTCCAAAAACCAGCTAATGAAAACCTTATGGATCACAACAATCCAATCTCATTTTGCATGCAGTTGCCATGAGTCAGGGCTGACTCGACAGCAGCTAACAACACACTAAGTTTAGTAGATGGAAAAGCAAAAAATCCTGGGAGCATATGAAGCAAGGGACAACTAATTCCAATGAGGTGGGTCTGAAAGATAGGGAAAGTATGAAGAGGAGCTAAGATGAACTTTAATACATAAATAAGATAGGAGAAGAGCAGAGAAGGGTGGAAGAAAAACACTTAAGGAAGAATGAGCATAAACATGACCTTGGAGGCAAGAAAATACACGGCTTTCAGAGACTAGTCAATTGTCTCGTGTGGCTAGAATGTAGAGTACCTATAAGGGTAAAGTGGAAGTCTAGAACCTGAACTTGGAGCATGACTGCTTTTCTAAGGAATTTGGACTTTAGCATGCGTGTCATAGCCTACAGAATGCATTGGAGAATAAAGATAGTGATTCCAGTTAGGGGGCTATTCCAGTAGGCTAGGTATGAAAATGAAGGCCTGATAAACTTCAAAAACATCATGTTAAGTGAAAAAAGCCAGATGTAAAAGACCACATATTATATGATTCTATTTATATGAAATGTCTACAAATGGCAAACCTATACAGTTAGAATCAATCTTGAAGGATGTACAGCCAGAATGCTCCTTAGAAGCGAGGATGGCGAGAATTTATCTCACTTACTTTGGACATGTCATCAAAAGGGATCAATCACGTGAGAAGGACATCATGTCTGGTAAAGAAGAGGGTCAGCAAAAAAGAAAGAGACCCTCAATGAAATGGTTTGACACAGTGATTACAACAATGGGCTCAAACATACCAAAGATTGTGAGGATGGTACAGGACAGGGCAACATTTTGTTCTGTTATACATAAGGTTGCTAATGAGTCAGAGCCAACTCCATAGCAACTAACAATAACAACACAGAGATAGAAAGTAGATTAGTGGTTACCTGGGGTTGGGTGTGGTAAGGGAGGAGACACTGCAGATGGGCTGGAGAGATCTTTTAAGGGTGATGGAAATGTTCTAAATTGGCTTGTGTTGATGGTTACGCAACTCTTTAATGAAGAAATTAAAGTCTGTACTTGGGAATGGAAAGGAAGAGGTAAAAGGAATGAATATGAGAGAGATCACGGAGACAGAATTGGCAGGATTAGTTGAGATAGGATGTACAATGAAACAGAAGTTAAAATGACTAGGTTTCTAGTCTGAATGACAGGGATGATGGTGGAGGAGAGAGGGAATACAGTAGGTTTAGAATTTAGGTGGTTAGGTGGAGAGGATTGTTTGAGTTTGTTGTTGTTAGGTGCTGTCCAGTCAGTTTTGACTCATAGGGCCCTATGTAAAACAGAACAAAACATTGCCTGGTCCTGTACCATCATCACAAGTGTTGTTATGTTTGAATCCATTGTTGCAGCCACTGTGTCAATCCATCTCATTGAGGGTCTTCCTCCTTTTCGCTGACGCTCTACCTTACTAAGCATGATGTCCTTCTCCAGGGACTGGTCCCTCCTGATAACATGTCCAAAGTACGTGAGACAAAGTCTCACCATCCTTGCTTCCAAGGAGCACTCTGGCTCTAATTCTTCCAAGACAGACTTATTCGTTCTTCTGGCAGTCCATGGTATATTCAATATTCTTCGCCAATACCAATATTGGTCTTCCTTATTCATTGTCCAGCTTTCGCATGCACATGAGGCAACTGAAAATATCATGGCTTCGGTCAGGTGCACCTTAGTCCTCAAAGTGACATCTTTGCTTTTTAACACTTTAAAGAGGTCTTTTGCAGCAGATGTGCCCAGTGCAATATGTCATTTGATTTCTTGACTGCTGCTTCCATGGCCATTGATTGTGGATCCAAGTAAAATGAAATCCTTGACAACTTCAGTATTTTCTCTGTTTATCATGATGCTGCTTATTGGTCTGGTTGTGAGGATTTTTGTTTTATGTTGAGGTGTAATCCATACTGAAGGCTATAGTCTCTGACCTTCATCAATAAGTGCTTCAAGTCCTCTTCACTTTCAGCAAGCAAGGTTGTGTCATCTACTTATTACGTTGTTAATAGCCTTCCACCAAGCCTGATGCTACATTCTTCTTCATATTGTCCAGTTTCTCTGATTATTTGCTCAGCATACAGATTGAATAAGTATGGTGAAAGGATACAACCTTGATGCACATCTTTCCTGATTTTAAACCATGGTATCCCCTTGTTCTGTTTAAACAACTGCCTCTTGGTCTATGCACAGGTCCCACGTGAGCACAATGAAGTGTTCTGGAATTCCCATTCTTTGCAATGTTATCCATTGTTTGTTATGATCCACACAGTCGAATGCCTTTGCATAGTCAGTAAAACAGGTAAACATCTTTGTGGCATTCTCTGCTTTCAGCCAAGATCCATCTGACATCAGCAATGATATCCCTCGTTCCTCATCTTATTCTGAATCCAGCTTGAATTTCTGGCAGTTCCCTGTCGATGGACTGCTGCAATCGCTTTTGAATTATCTTCAAGCAAAATTTTACTTGTGTGTGATATTAATGATATTGTTTGATAATTTCCACATTCTGTTGGATCACCTTTGTTTGGAATGGGCACAAGTGGATCTCTTCCAGGCGGCTGGCCAGGTAACTGCCTTCCAAATTTCTTAGCATAGACAAATAAGCACCTCCAGCATTGCATCTGTTTGTTGAAACAACTCAATTGGTATTCTGTCAATTTCTGGAGTCTTGTTTTTCACCAATGCCTTCAGTGCAGTGTGGACTTCTTCCTTTAATGCCATCAGTTCTTTATCATATGCCACCTCCTGAAATGGTTGAACTTCGAAAAATTCTTTTTGGTACAGTGACTCTGTGTATTCCTTCCATTTTCTTTTGATGCTGCCTGCATTGTTCAGTATTTGGCCCATAGAATCCTTCAAAATTGCAACTTGATGCTTGAATTTTTTCTTCAGTTCTTTCAGCTTAAGAAATGCCAAGAGTGTTCTTCCCTTTTGGTTTTCTAAATCCAGGTCTTTGCACATTTCAATATAATACTTTATATGTCTTCTTGAGCTGTCCTTTGAAATCTTCTGTTTGGCTCTTTTACTTCATTTCTTCCATTTGCTTTAGCTACTCTACATTCAACAGAAAGTTTCAGAGTCTCTTCTGACATCCATTTTGGTCTTTTCTTTCTTTTAAATGACCTTTTGCTTTCTTCACGTATGATGCCCTTGATGTCATCCCACAACTTGTCTGATCTTCGGTCATTAGTGCTCAGTGCATCAAATCTATTCTTGAGATGGTCTCCAAATTCAGGTGGGATATACTCAAGGTTATAATTTGGATCTCATGGACTTGTTTTCATTTTCTTCAGTTTCAACTTAAACTTGCACATGAGCAACTGATGGTTTGTTCTGAAATCGGCTCCTGGCCTTGTTCTGACTGACGATCGTCTCTTTCTGCAGATGTGGCTGATCTGATTCCTGTGTTTTCCATCCAATAAGGTCAACTCATACAGTCACTGTTCACGTTGTTGAAAAAAGGTATTTGCAATGAAAAATTGGTTGGTTTTGCAAAATTTTATCATGTGATCTCCGACCTTGTTTCTATCACCAAGGCCTTATTTTCCAACTATAGATCAAGTTCAAGTTTAAGCAAGTACAATTTTAAGGTGCTTGCTAGACAGGCACATGACCATGTACAACAGGAGGTTGAAATTGCATCTAGCACTTAAGACTGGTAACTTCTCCTTTCCTTTATCACCTTCAGTCATTGAAATGCTGAAATGTGAGCAATCTGAAACCGTGGGAGTGGATGAAACAAAGAGTAGGCAGAATAGCTTAAATAAATTAAAAGCTCTTGAATGTTTTTAGAGTGATACATACTACTGTAGGATAAAGGACATATTTCTGCTTAGTATTTAAATAAAAATATGTTCTAGATTTCATAATAATGGAAGGTTTGAAGAGAAAAAAATGGGGTGACTGTTTCAAACTTAATCCTGGTAAAGCCCAAATCATAAAAAGTATTAAGAAGATACATAAAATGAGTAGGCAGTAATAAAAGTTTCATAACAGATTTAACAGAAAATACTGCAGCTTTTTCCTGGTTACAGCCAAATAAGCTGTTATCCTACTATTAGTAAAAATTTTTCACTAGGATGTCAAACTTGAAAAGTGAGTACTTACAAACTAATTCCTCTTGTGTGGTATGAGAAGTTCAGCAATTATGCACATTAAAGCAAACAAACAACTGAAAACAAAACCACCAGCTATTTTATAAACTTTTTTGGATTTAGAAACCTGATTAAAAGTCTAACTACGTATCAGGGCTTTGACTTTAAAGCCCTTGTAATAAGGTGTATCTTGTACTTCGGCTTCAGTTTCCTCTTTCGCCAACTTTGCTACTCTCACTAGCAGTTCTGGTGGCTCCTAAAGCATCCGAGGTGTGGAGAGGAGTGCGGGGCAGAGGTGAGACACCGACTTGCCCCCGCTAATGTCACTCCAAGTTGAGTGAGCTCGCAGGACTCAGAAGGCTTTAGGAAGCCCAACCACCCCGACTAGTGGCTCCAGCAGAGGGCCAAAGGGCTGGTCTCTTTCCCTTTACTCGTTACTGATTTCCTACCTTCACCGCATACAACTTGCCGCCTTTCTGCCCCAGGTACACTTTCCCGAAGGCGCCACGACTAATGGGCTTCACAATGGTGAATTCCTCAATGGAGGGCGGTCTTGGCACCCGATTCAGGCATTCCCCTGTCGCCGCGCCTCCTCTGCTCTCTTCGCTCCCTGCGGTGGACTCCATCCCAGGTGGGGTCAGAAGAGAACCCGCAGCAGCTGCCACCGCCCCTTTCCAAGCCGCAACTCCCGCCACCCAGGTTCAAAGTGAGACTCCGCCCCCGCACGCACTCCCGCCGTGACGTCACCGCGTCGCCGCGCTCGCGGCGTCAGCCCAACGTAGTCCAGCTTTCTTCCCACTCTTTGTAGACGCGGGTGGAACCAATACGCGTGTGGGCGGGGATGCTATAAATGTTTTGCGCTGACCGCTGGCCCTTCAAGGGCGGTGACCACGGTCCACTTATTTCATTTGTAATGAGAGGGAGGGACAAGTAGTTCTTGACAGACTTGAAAAGGGACAACGGGTACTTAAATCTGAATCCTGTGCTTTTGAAGAGGTTTTTTTCCGGTCTCTAAATGAGGCTGGTGGGACCCTGCCCTAATTCCGGTCAAGATCTGCTATTTTTAACCCCTCGCGACCTTCTACACTCGCGAATAATATAAATTGGTTCTGACCTGTAAAGTGGTTGACCAGGGAGGAAGTTTGGAAGCTAGTGAAGTCATGGAATGTGGAGAAACTGGATGAGTAGGAAATGGGGGCTGATCCTGTAATCCGACGTTTTGACAGGCTGTAACTTGCCTGACTGGAATGATTAGGACCAGCATTTATCATGGGAAAGATAATGAGGACTAAATTGTAGCAAAACACCTTATAGCTCAAGGCCCAGTCGGAATAGGGCAATACATTGGAAGATTCGATAAGGACGCTGTAGAAAATGTGGGAGAGGTTTATCAGGATGCATGCCATTTTCCCTTAAAAACAAAAAACAAACTTTCCACAGCCAAGAGCATGGGAGCGGTGCAGCACATGTATTACTCAATGTAAACATCAACTCCTTTGGTGGCCAGCGGTTTTCCGGGAGAGCAGTTGCCCAGAAGAAACGCCAGAGGATCGAGAAGGCGGAGCGCTGACGTACACCCCAAGTTGGTTGCGCTCACCTGTCCCGGAAGTACTTTGCCTAGAGCCTTGTCTTCCGGGACAGATTTGGCTGTCGTTGCAGCAGCTGTAGGGAAGGGGAGGCCATTTTCCGTTCTGTGAAGAGTAAGGGGCAAGGGGAGGGAGAAAAGAGAGGAAAAGAAGAGCTTAGCGCCTCCCCGCCGGGCCGAGAACACAGGGGCCTTTTCGGTAGGCGGGTGAGGTCGCTGAGGGCCCTGGGGAGATGTTTTCCCTGTCGAGCACGGTGCAGCCCCAGGTGAGTCCGTCATCCGGTCCGTTTTTCTCTTGTCCCTGCTCACAGCTGTGTGCCAGTTCTGTTTCGTATGAGCGGTTTCACAGAAGGGACCATAGGAAGGAAGCGATTCACTCAACAGGAGTCCCTGGGTTGAAAAGTGGATCGGGGACAGTGCTGAGAGTCGAGCCTGAGACTTAATAAACGGCTGAAGATGAGGCTGTTGGGGGAAGAGGCGTAATGTGAGTGTGATGGAGACTTTGGCTTATCGAGCTGATGGCGTGGAATTTCTGCGCTAGAATCTGTCGGGAGTTGTTCACTGTCGGGCATTCTAGGGGTGGGGGTGGGGAAAATGTCTTTGCCATAGCTGTAAAGGAAGCAGATAATATTTCCTTTGCATCCTTCGGCCTCTCCGGAACGGAGGCGTTAGTATTTACACCCCCAATCCTCTCTTCTTTCTTTCCCTAAAGGGAAATGGTATTTAATTCTAACATTCTGTAATAATTTGAATAGCCTGCTGTAAATGCTTTTATCGTTTTGGTTAGAAATGACTAACATATTTTCAGGCTCTTGGCTGCTTGCAGTTAAAATTTTGGATTCAGCCTTCTTCCCATCTTTTTGTAAAAGAAAAGATAGGGCAGAGAAAAGTTAATTGAAAGGTTTTGATTATTATCCTCTTTTTGAGGTAGTCATTTGTGACAGTGTTTTGTTCTTGGTTCATTTAAAAGATTACAGTATATAACGATTTGATTTATTTTTTGAGGGTGCTCAGTTTTGCGAGTAAATGGTTTTGAGAACATTCTAACTTAAAATTTTTTTTTTAATTGACACTCTTAGTTTCTTGGTTTAACTATATGATTGTGTTTCTTCATGTAGCGCCCCTTCCCACTCTCTCTCTTTTTTTGTTTGCTAGTAATGGCTGAGTAATAGAAAATGAAGTGATTATTTATTGTGCATCAATTATGTGCCAGGTGAATAAATCAAATGTAGGATCTTGTCTTAATGGAGATATGAAGTAAAAGATGAGTAGAAGTTAACCAGATGAAGGGTCAGAGGAAGTTAATAGGCATCCATTCAGAAGGGAAAGAGTATTTGTGGAGGCTCTGGGATAGAAAAGAGTTTAGCAGATTGGAGGAACAAAAATAAGACCAGAGTGGCTAGAACATGGTGATTAAAGGGAGCAGTGACAGATCAGGTTTGAGAAAAAAGCCTTGAGGCAGATTATAGGAGTTAGTTGCAAGTTATGTTAAGGAAGTTTGAGTTTCATTTCAAATTATTGAAGCCACTGAAGGCTTTTAAACAGGAGTTTTACACTTTTGATAGGTCACTCTGGCTGCTTGCTGTGTGGAGAATGTTGATGGGGTGGGGAGGGCAAGAGTGGAAGTCTTATCAGTTATCGATTTGATGGCAACTAACAACAACAATACAGTGGTTAAGAGCTACAGCTGCTAACCAAAAGGTCAACAGTTAAAATCCACCAGCCGCTCCTTGGAAATCCTATGGGGCAGTTCTACTCTGTCATATAGGGTAGCTATGAGTCAGAATCAACTCAACGGCAACGGGTTTTTTTTGGTTTAACAACAACAGCAATTGTACTACCATATCCATACCAAACCAAACCCGTTGCTGTCGATTTGATTCCAACCCATAGCTACCCTATATGACAGAGTAGAACTGCTCCATAGGGTTTCCAAGGAGCGGCTGGTAGATTTGAAACGCTGACCTTTCAATTAGCAGGTGTAGCACTTAACCACCAAGCCACCAGGGTTTTCTTCACAAACAGTGCACCCATGTAAATAACATGCACACACATATAATGCGTGAACATGTCAAAATCATGTAAAAAGTTCTGGCATAGCGTGTCCATACATATACTGCACATGTCTTCTAACATTTCCAGAAGTGAATTTTGGCCTCATTCACTCTCATAGTCCAAAAGTGTTAGTTTTGATCATATTTGTATAATAAAGGTATAAGCCATGGTCAAGAAATCATGGATCAAGTTTGGTAGTACCCTAGTAATCGGAATATAAACAGTTGAAACTATGTGTTTCTTTCTGTTAATTTCAGTTGATAATTATATCCCCTCCACTTGACTCATCAATTGGAAGCCTGTTCATAAGTCATGTGCTGTCAACTGGAAGCTTAAACAAAGCGAAGCCTGCACAGCATAAATGGCATGGAGTAGCTATCAATAGGAATCTTAATTCAGTCTGCATTGTCATAATTATCACAGTTGTCTTCCAAGTCTGGCCGTTTAATTGGAGGAGTAAACAAAGCAAAACTGATACTGGCTCACTCTTGGCTCAACAGTTGAATTCAAAAACCTTATGAGGTCATTTTAGTGATCTGATAGTGAAACCATTAAGCTGTGTTAAAAACAAAAAAACAAACCCATTGCCATCGAGTCGATTTTGACTCATAGCAACCCCAACCCCGTAGGACAGAGTAGAACTGCCTCATAGGGTTTCCAAGGAGTGGCTGCCGACCTTTCGGTTAGCAGCCGAACTCCTAACCACTGCGCTAGGTCTGCTTATTTCATAGTCTAATTATGTCTCATTAGCACCAATGTCCTTGATCAATGATCATAAGTCACCTTAGGCATGTGCTTGCGAGCATATGAAAAGACCTTTGCTTCTTGTACACCTCACATTTGAGTTTTGTGATCTTTTTACTAGAACCAGCCAGTTATCGATTATATTGCACACAATTCTTTAGTTTATAAATCTAAATCTTAGAACCTGTTAGCATCATGGCAGTAATTAAACGCAAGTCCTACACTTCTGACTTCAAACTGAAAGTTGTTGCGGGGGCAGAAGAAACAAGCAACAGAGGTTGGAGAGTTGTCCATTTGTGAATGGAAAAAGGAGCTGGAGAAAATGAATCCAGGAAAACGCACGTGTCATGAGCCCAAAGTGAAATGGCCTGAGTTGGAGAATGACTTGAAAGAGTGGATTATTTCTTGAAGGGAGCAAAATCAAGCTGTTTCTGTCACAGTTCAGATCAAAGTGAAGCTTTTGGCAAATGAAAGGGGAATCCTAGATTTCAAGGCAGGTTTCACCTGGATTTCTAAATTAATGAAAAGGAATGGCCTTTCCATGAGAATGAGAACCACTGATGATGATAATGAATATACTAAAATGTCCTGTTTTAAGATGAAAACACAGTTTTCTTCTGATGACTTTTATTTATTGATTTCAAAGACACTGATTATCAAAAATTGTTTTAGTTTAAGGTTTATGAAGCATTAAAATATAAACAACATCTTGTAGTTTTAGATCTAGGATCATTTCATACTTACTAATTTCTGGCTCTTCACGCAGCCATACTCTTTGATTTCAACATGGCGTCCCATTTCCATCACAAGCCCATTCAGTTCACCATTGATTGTACTTGGATTAGGAAAATAACTATCTTAAATGAAGTTTCTACGAGATCAGTTTTTTTCCCGGCAACATTAAATCCATTGGAACCAAAAAAAAAAAATTGAAAATGATGTCAGCAGCCTGTAAAAAATACTGGTATAGAACACTTATGAATATAACGCATGGGGGGTGGTTGCACAGTTTGCAAAAAACTTAATAACGTGTGCATTATTTGCATAAAAATACGGTAATCCAGGAGAGGGATGATGTTCTCACTAAAGTGGTGGCAGTTGTTATGGAAAAAAGAGATGAGATTTATTTTAAAGAAAGAATAGAATTCAATGAGGGATTGGATATGAGGGATGAATGGGGAGAGGTGTTTCTGGTTTGATCAGCTAGATGCATGAAGGTGCTATTTACCAAGACGACAGTGTCTAGAGGAGTCGAGGCAATTTTTTTTTTTTAATTGTACTTCAGGTTAAGGCTTACAGAACAAATAGTTTCTCATTAAACAGTAGTACACATATTGTATTATGCCATTAACATGTCAACCCTCTAACTTCTCAACCTTTTTTTTTTTTTTTTTTGGTGAAAATACACATAGCCAAAGATACA